CTTTTGTGGAGAGAAAAACAAGAAATGGAAGAACAGAAGGAATGGTTTTTGTGGTGCTTCATACACATTTTACATAACTATTAAATTATAAGTAACACTTTTAGTGCCAGCTACTGCATCAAAGTATCAAGGTTTTCAAAGCATTTCTATTTAATTTAGTAGAATTTAAGAAAATTAATTTCATTTATCTACTTGTTTGTACTTGGCATACCAATTAAGTCACAAGCTCATAGAGTCCTTATATTTTATTTAGTTTTTTTAGATGAATGTTTTTTTAAAAATTGCAGTGTCTATTACCAACTAAAAGATGTTTTATCATCCGTCAAGGGCTAAAATCAAAACCATTGAAATTTCATTACCCTAACTCTGATTTTAGCGGCTGATAGAAGAACCTATCCTACTAACTGAGCAATTAACACAGGTAATGGGATTCTTTACAGAGATCCACTACCTGTATCTAATCTTGTCTGAGTTGCAACAAAACATTTGTACTTTTAAAAAAATAGTACCAAGAACAATATCTTATTCATGCTATGAAGTTACGCGTTTACTTCACACAGGCAACTTCTTTGATAACCAAAATCTGGTAGCAACTGATGTATGAATAAAAAAACAGAGGTGGTATTCTATTCAGAATCAGACCTGAATAGAATACCAATAATACATCCACATCAGATAAAAACAACAAATGTCCAATTACGCACCAAAAATGTGCAGCACTTAATACCAGTTGCCATGTTTTTTTTAAACACCTCCCTCCCACCCCACCTTGTATCTTAACTTTGATCTGACTATTACCAAGCCCAAGGTTACCAAAGGTGTGGCTGACAGCCACAAAGAAACCACAAATTTTACCAAAAAAGAAAAAAAACAGACTTCAGCCACACTTCACTGCCTTAACTGGTGTTTTTTTTAACTTTCAAAACAACAAGAGGGAGTAAGCTGACATACTCAGAGGTAGATTAACCTAACCTTGCAATGTGACAATGCCAAAGCAATGTTAGGATTCCTAGATCAAGGTATTTGAGTAAGAAAACTACCACCATATTATTCAATAAAGCCTAAACATCTACCCAAATGTATTTGCACATTTGTCTTGGGTACCAAATCCATCAAGCAATTCACATTAATCTTTCCTCTTTTTTTGTTGGTCTGAATAACTAAAGACTAAATGCCTACAGTGAAAGACTACTGAATAAGATGCCTTTTCTCTTCAAAACATATCATAAATTAAAAATAAATTAAAAATAAATTAACAAAACATAAAATACAGATTACTGATCCCTTCCAAATTGAGAAAAATAGAATACCAAAATTTACAACAGTTCAACGGTATTCTGATTATGTAATTTTTCTTACTAAGCTGTAATACATGTTGCTTTTTCATTCATCCATTACCTAATTTATCATATATAAATAGCATCATGTCAGCATAATACTTCTAGTCATGCACTGGCATAATAAGTAAATACAGAAAAACAAAGCAAAAAAGGGGGAAAAAAATGAACTCTTTGATTATTGTTGGTATTTCTGTTGACCTAACAAATTTTGGCTCAGCTAAATAAGACCCACTCTCAGTCTTAACTTCCTTTATGAAAACAGCCCCCCGTTTTAGCCAAAACAAAATAATGTAAAGAAAAAATGGAGAGACCAAGTCCATTAACTATTTGTTATCACTTCAGGTGATTTGCCACCAGATGGAGCTGTGTCAGGTTGTGTTGATCGTGCTGGCTCACCTGACTACCTCGGCCTATCAGATTAAAGGAAACAGCACGCACATCTACTCTGATGCCCCGTACCCGGTAAAGAGGCCTCGGACCCAACTGTACATGACGGTATTTCCATTCTCAAAAGCCATATCCATACGTTGGGATTTAACTTCCTATGACTACATCACTGATATTACTGCAAAGTACAATGTTACCCCGGGATCGCCGATCACTATATCAAATATCACCAGGTTTACCAAAGAGGTGAACATAACACACCTGCCAGCCAACAGACCTGTGACAGTTTGCTTACATGTTACGTTCAGCAATGAAAAACCAGTGCAAAAATGTAGCACAAAGACAACACTGAGGAAAATACAGCCCATTCCTCCTGTAAATAATGTTCAAGAGCTCAGCATTGAAGCCACTATCACTCTCTCAGTGCTGATCATACTTATCGTGGCTATAGCAGTAATATGCATCATATTTGCCAGGTATCAGAAAAAGCAAGCTCTGAAAAGACAGCAAGCCCGAGCACTGCGGGTAAGAGCTCGTATACAAGGCCGAGTGAGTCAAGACCCAAAGAAGGCAGCAATTGGTAAAATTCTAGAGCACAAACACCTCCCGCTGGACAGTAAGACTCTTACTGAGGACTGGAGTGTAAGCAGTGAGGTCAAAGTGCAAGACTGGCAACAGAATCGAATTAGTTTGGACTTTGAACCTCCGTCTGACGCCCCAGTGGTCGACACGGAGGACCTGGTTTTCTTCCAAAATCACACAAATGGTAAAATAAAACACGACGATGGGAAGTCGAGCAGTTTGAATTCACAAAGTAAAGTAGGCAGCAAGGCGTCTGATGAGAAGCCATCAACAGAAGAGAAGAGCAGTCTTAAGGAAGCTCATGAAAGTCCCAGTGCTACGCTCTCCCCTGAAGCAGCAGTTGCTGGGGATATAACACCCAGGTCCTCTGAAGAAAATGCCCCAGCTGAAACTACGAAAACAACAGAGGAGAAAAAAACAAGTCGTAAGACTACCAGTGGTCCCCCAAGACGAAAAACACTGGAAGAAAAACTACGATATGCACGAAAAATCAATGCAAGAGCAAATAGAATGAACAGCAAGTCAGGTACAGACAGGCGTTCTGGAAATAAAACATCGAGTGGCAAGAGAAGGAGTAGTAGGACTTCAGGGGAGAGATCTCGCTCCAGAAGTTCACACAAACAAGATGGCGAGTCTGGTGAAAGGCCCAGCAGCCATTCTACCTCTCAATCTAAAAGTCAACCAGCAGAATCACATAACCCTGTGTCTACAGACTGATATCTTGATGCCAAGATTAAACATAATGCAAAAAAAATTGTATATCAAAATATGAACTTTCCCTTACTCAATTGTACATATCTCAATTTTTTGAGTGATTTTTAATTTTTTTATGAAGTTAGTGCATATTAAATCATCAAATAGCATTTAAAAAACCCTGACAACTCTACACCTTATGGCAATTATGTGCACCTTCAAATGGTTTCCCTGTACTGTTGAAGCATAATCCAGATAATTAGCCTGCCAGACTGTGACGACCAAGCAAAGGCCACCCAAGTAAATGTTTTCATATGCGCACCTAATGTTTAAACAATTTGTGGGCATGTTCTAAATTCTCAACCTAGACAGATTTACTTAATGGATCAGTGTGTAAAAAAATGCATATATTTTACAAAAATATAGTTAAAATGACTGTCAAAATATTAAAATTTTCATAATAAAAGCTAATAAGGTTTGTAATTAAAAAAAAAAAATTTTTTACAAGCATTTCTGTGCTCATTACAATTGTCTGCTTCCCCCCACTTTTTTTGGAGGGAGGTTGAGAGAGAGGCTATGAACCAATGCTTATGTTTATGGCTCAAGAGAAAATAACTTGTAATGGCTGTTAGACTGCAATCTTCTCTTCAACATATCGGCATATTGCGGTTTAAAAACTTCAATGCCATTAATGAATAATTATCCTGCTATTATGAAAAGCTTTTAATTAATATTCTAAAATGTCCACCAGTAAAAATTACAGTTATGCATGCCTTTATCATTAAAATGTGCCCTTTGCCAAATAAGATATTTTTAACACTTACTCTCGACTATGAGATTTATCACCCTAGGATATTTTATCATATTTGAAATGTTCCAGTCAAAAATCCAACAATATATTATATCTGACCAAGTAAACAAGTTTCAAATAGTTCTTTGCATGTCAACCAAGATAAAATTACAGCAGGTTTAAATGGCAAAATTTATCATTTGTAAATACAGTGATTTACATCTACAAAACTGCAGTAATAAAATCAAACAATACACCTTTATATAATGGCAAAAAATGTAGAAAGTACAATATCTGTTTGAAGGGATCATAATTTTTTAAACATATTTATGCCTATTTATGGACTAAAATCATATAATCTTTATCATTGTGACATAAAAACCTCTCTAAAAAAGATGAAAATGACAATTTTATGTTTGATAATCAAAACAGCATCATAATACTTTCTTAATTCAGCAGAAAACGCCACGATGCTAACTCATAAAAACTACTTTTGAGAAGTTTTCAATATATGACAGACAAAACTGCATCTTCAGCTTTTGAAATAACACTGCCACACAGACAACACATAAAGCTACATCAGAGAAACCCTGGACTCTCTAAGACAGCAATACCAAAGTAAACATCAACTGAATCCACCATTCTTTAAATAGAAATAAATCATTTATATGCATCTTTTACCCTTGATGCATGTTGCTGAGAAGACATTATTAGCCAAAACCGTGGAGATGTTTAGGGGGTCATCATATATGACCCAGGAAATTCTATGAACCATGAAAACACTCCATAAGAAGTTAAGAATGTGAAACCCATAAGTGGATACTAATGCAGTCTGCTATTGGTCCCTGCCTCAATGTAAATGAAAAGCAGATTTGGTGTTGCATTAAAAAAACAAGGTTTATGTCAGAACTAATAAAACTTAAGGCAGAAATGGTCTTGATTAGAAAAAGATTAACCCTACAGAGTAATTTCTGAACTGGACTAATGAAAATGTTATTGGTCAGGAGTAGCACATTTCTCTTTTCATATTCTTTTAAATGTTCTTTTAAATGTCTTAAGTTTAAAACAGTAAGTATAATTAAAGCAAGCAAATAAATAAAAATAACTAACACACTCGTTTAAAATGGTGCCCAGATGACACATAATCTTCCACATTTCAAACATTTCACTTTTTTTGTAAAAAAGATTTAAAACAAAATGTTCCTTACCTCATTTTGAAGGGAATTCAATTCCAGATTTTTCTCCAGATTTGCTTTAAAATATTCATCTGCTTCTTTCCTAGTTTCTATGAGTTGCAGCTCTAGTTCCGCTATCTTCTGGCACAGACTAGCGACCTCAGCAACATGGCGTCTGCCCTGGGCACCTAGCTCATACTGGAGCTGGTCTATCTCAAGCTGCTTTTCTCTGGGCTAATAATTAATCCTCATGCTTAATCTTTTTTAAAATATGCAATTAAAAATAATGCAATGACTGGTGTTTTTGCTTTTTTACTTTAAATACAAAATTGTCTGAAACTACTTTTTGGAAATACAATTGCAATTTACAACTAATCAATATGATTGACTTTTTTGTCATATATGCAAAGTAAAAGAAATTATGAATAACAAATAAAGTTTTTTAATACCACTGTTACAAAAGCATCTTAACACAATTAATACCGCTGATATTCATTTATAAAAAATTCAGGCACAAAAGCACTGAACTCTTGAAAGAAAGACATTTGAGTTAATTGCCATACAATATATACCTGCTTGGACAGCTTATTTTGAGAAGCCTCTTGAAACTGTAGTCTTGCCTGCTGTTTTTTCACCTGTGCACTAAGTTCCACCTTTTCTCTTCTTAAACTGGCTGTAAAAGTATTTGAATGATAAAGTATATAAAATTGGATTAAATGATATCAAGTTTTTCGTAGTGCATCAAAGAAAAAATATATGAGAGAGAGAGAGAGAGAGAGAGAGAGAGAGAGAGAGAGAGAGAGAGAGAGAGATCCTTTAATGAACTATTTTCAGAACAATTTTGCTTCAATGTCAAGCAACATAATTATTAAAAAAAAGGTTTCAAAGCTATGTTACCAAAATAAAAAAGTCAAAATCTTTATTCCCTGTACGATATTGGACTGCTGATGCAAAGAAAAAGTTTTTTGCTCATCCAGAATACCACAGACTTACCAATCACTCTCCAGACAATCACTTAACATAATTAAAGTCACATACCTATGGTATCATTTAAAGACTGGATGTGAGAACGTACAAGGGCATTGTCGCCAATAGATTTCATGAGGAGATCTTGGGCGTGTGCTACAGGTGGGTCTTCTCTGGGTTGCTGCTTGGTTTGGAGATCAGATTCTGCATTGCGCATTTTACTCTTCAGGCTACGGACCTCATCTTCTAACATTCTAACATATTCTGCAATAAATAAATAAAACAGGCGCATTTTACTCTTCAGTCTATGGACTTCATCTTCTAGCACTCTTAACATATTCTGCAATAAATAAATAAATAAATAAATAGGGAAAGTCTAAAAATATGGCCTGGGGTCCAGGGACCGCCTTTATCAATCTCAAAAACAGATACATTTGGCAAAAAAGTCAGAAAGCTGCAGGTAGTCAGAAAAATCTCATTACTGATAAATACAGTTATCCCTTATCTTATCTTTATTAATATAATTTATTTTATTTGCATAAAGGTTTCAGATTTACCGTAAATTTAAACAAAAGAAAAGAAAAAAAATCCTCTCCTTCTTTATGTACTAGTTAATATATATATGACTTCATACTTAGGATTCATTGCAATAAAACCATAATTGGGCCATACTGAATACAGTGCTCACTGCTTTTGTTTGCATTTGAATATTTAAACAAAACCTTATTTTACACATTATGATATAACTTCAGAATTCATAAATGATTATTGGTAGATTCACTATTATATCTAGAATAGCACTGACTGTTATGCAAAATAAAACTACAATAACCACAGCATCAATAACCCATGACTGTTTTCAATTCCTGTGGTTAATGAATAACAATTGGCATAACCAGTGCAAATCAGGAATTAATTAAACTGCAATATATCTGAAGGTGTTGGGGATTTTGATAACCTTGATCAATTGTGAGATATTCAAAATATGAAAGCTAATGAAACTGCAGTGTGGTGACTTGTATTGTTATTATTATCACTCTCACTATTAAAAAATATATCACAATGACAACACACCAGGAAATAAATCATAGATTCTTACATAATGCCTGACTTTGACACTACCTATGTAGGAAACAAAATGCAGCTTTTGCTTTTTGAAATTCAAATTATAATTTAGCATTTTTATATTCTAATAATAGTCTTAAAGGTAACTTTGTAGAAAGATCTTGTAGACAAGAATAATCAACCACTTTTTTCTATCAAATTTATGCATAGAATACCACAGCCTTGAAACTAACAACTCTATAGGCCAAATAAAATGCAGCATTAACATTATAACCAAATTAAAATAGTGACATGCATCTTGAACTATGAATTTAAGCTACATTTAACAAGTGCGGGTTGAACCATGCTACGATAGCTGAAATCAAATGATTCAGAGAACCACAGTCTTAATTAACCAGACCCAGACATCTCAATCTCAGACAAATAAACATTGCACGTAGTTATACACATTAACTGGCTAGGTAATTAATAAACAGAAGCGCCTTGAATATAATTACCATATACTGACACTCTCCAGGTTTTATTTTAATGGTCCAGTTTATGAGTCCAATGTATCATTTAATTAATCCAAGGAAGTAGATATCTATCTTCTTCCTTGATTAATTTAAATAGTTAAATGAGCTCCCCTGCTGATTAATGTATTCAAAGCACAGAAAATCTGTACTATAATACACTGCTACAGTAATTTAAATTACGTCACATGAGTCTCTAGTATTAAGGAAATAAAAAAATTGAGAGATCATAAAATAAACCTTAAATTAAGATTTCAGTTAAAATGTAAATGAGGAATTCAATGAGGAATTCCATCAGTGGTGTTCAACACTCAGACAACTGCTAAGATTCCACTTATTGTTTTCCAATGTTTTCAACTGTCAGGTCACCTATACCACTTCAGGGAATACTGTTGCACACCTCAGGTAGAGGCTTTGTCAACAACAACAACTGATAGGCAATGAAATACTGGAGCACAATAACAGTGTTCATACCTATGGTTAGTATTTATACTCATTTACTATTATAGTTTCTTCAAGCAACAAATGAGTATTTCTCATATCTGCCTTACATTCTCTATAAAAAAATTGTAATATTACCTTCAGTGACTGGACTGCCCGGCTTCTGCTTAACTGGCTCCTGGTCTCCAATATTCTCCATTTCAGTCCTCATCTGCCTGATCACCGTTCTCAGTTTTTCATTCTGTGCCTGAAGCCGGGAGATCTCTTCAGACTCTGACTGGGTTGGAGTACCATGGACAGCCGAGGTCTGTGGAGTGGTAATATTAAATATAAAAATTATATGCTTCAGTTCTGGGTTTTCCTTTTTATATATGTTTTTTTATACATGCTACTAAAAAAATAAATAAATGAAATCTCATCACTAGTAAACATGAATTTTCAATTACATTTTTTCTGATGATCTTTTTATTAATTTTCCTGTCCCAAAATATTTATTTACTTGTTAATGTGATAAAATCATTTCCTTCCTTTTATTAATCATCAACCTATCTTCTAAAATTAAATGTAAAGGAGATCATATCGTTGTGTAAAGTTTCAAAAGCAGCAGTACACACCATGATACAAACAACCAATTTGAATTTCTCTTTTTCTTCCCACACTTCAATATTCCCATCTAATAAAAGCAAAATATTAATCAAAATAAATAAATTCAAGTAGCAGTTCACACCATGCTTTAAAATCAAACTCATTAGAATGTAAATATTATATTAATAAAAAGCATACATCTATATTTCTATCCAGCACCAATCCATGCTGTTTCAGTGTTGCCAGTGCCTGGTCCCTGTCCTTGGTCAACACTTTGATCAAACTCTCCCTCTGTTGGAGTTCTCTGTCCTTCTCCTTCAGGGTGGCAAAAGCCTGTTGAAAAGGAAACAATAGTCTATATGTGTCATGTATAACAGCAGAATGAAGTTCCATCAGTAGAATTACCATATAATAAGCACAGAATTCAATCTTAAATCCAGGAATGTGAGGTCTGATAAAACTTGACAGATGTAGTCATTATCTAACATTACATTGACCGATGACAAAATTGCTTATTTTCTTTTTTCTACGTTTTACAAAAAAAGACAAATATTATCAACAATGTTGGATGCCAGTGATGCTGCAACTTTTGATGTTATCTTGCAGGACAGTGACATTCAGGTATTAAATATTTATTTACAATTATTATCTGTTGAATTTGGTCAAAATGTTGTTTTGCAGACCTCAGCCAAAAACAACAATCTGACATTATTTCGTTGTTCACTTCAAAATCAAACCTTTTTTTGCAAATCACAATATCTTGTATCTAATGGAAAAAAAATAATTTCAAAGAGGTTTCTTACAAAGTTATGCATTTATAAGAACAAAATCAACATTCTTCCAGTAGAGATCCAAATGGTTAAGGCTACATAATCTACACACAAAATGAATATTGAAAGAAACTGAATTCAAAAGTTTTTGGAAGGTTGACTTTGTGTCAGAAAGCAAACTGTTGTAAATGTGTTAAAACAATGATTTTTGAAAAATTAAATTATTAGAAAAAGAGAGGTGTTGGAAACTTTGTAGCAATTCCGAGAGCACCAATTCTCCTCACCTCATCCCTAGCCCTAGTCAGGTTTTTCACTAGGTCCTCAGAGCGCTCATACTGCAGTCTCTCCACCTCTTCGTATCTCCTCTGCCAGTCCAGGTCCAGCTGAGCCTTGGCACGCTCCAAACTGGCCTCTCTTTCCACAGCCAGGGTCATCTCCTTCTTGTACCTTGGTGAATAATACATTAACGTCAGTTTTAAAGCAAGCAAATAAATGTCAAAAGCACAGGCAAAAGCAAGAGACAGAGTTCAGTGGTGGAGTATAATAATTATTGTGATATTATGTCCATCATGGGTTGAAGAAGTAAAGTAAGTCAGTATGACAAACACTCATGTGGACACATACACTAGCACACACACTCACACAAACAAAAACATTGATTTGAATTATTTATAGAATAATACCACATAAGCTGAATCTTTTCATTCTGGTTGTTGTGGCCTACCAATTTGTACCACAAGTTGAGAATGATGTCCTAATAAACACCTTTCAATGCTCTCCTTTTTCTGCTGAAGCTCAGCTTTGATACTATCTTCATTGTCTTTTAGGGCCTGCAGTTCCAAATCCCTGGCGACATTAGTACGAGCTATCTCAGACAGTTGGGCATCCCATTTCTCTTTCACGTCGTGTATCTCTCCATGAAGTCTGAAAAATTTAGACAGTAGTTTGTTTTAATTATAAATTTTAAATGTTAAAACATTTTATTTATAACTGCAAATGAACAATATTTTAGGAAGCATAATCTTTTAGGCCTTCTGGCCATTGGGACAACAGAGTCTTAAATATAGTGGCTAGTACCTGGATAAAATTGAAACTTTTTGTCATTCATTTGTAACCTTAAGACTTCAATAGTAAAAATTTTAATTTTTGTTACTTTTCTGCCTGCAGCTCCTTCTCCTTTGCCAGATCCTGGTTCTCCCACTGTAGACGTCTGCTCTCCACCTGTGCCTGCTCCAGTTGTGTTTGCAGCTCACGGATGTTCTCCTGCAGAACTCTCTCAGTCTCGTGGTGACCTTCTTTGACTTTTAATAAAGCGGATTCCTTCTCTCTGGCATATCTGTCCCTCTCTTCAAACCTTATCAAGTTTAATGTTAATGAAGATAATAAGATGAAGTTTAGTACAGTTGGGATAAATATATCCTCCAATGTTTCCTAAATCTTTTTTGTGACTATATTTCGAAAGACATGTAGACTATGTTTCAAAATGAGTAGCTAATAGTGTTATTTATTGGGACAAACCATCCATTTAACCAAATACTTTGGTGCTCCTAAAATTATAATAGAAAACTAAAGAACATTCTAGCTAACATTCAATCCAAAGTAAATTATCATTTGAATATGTCAATGTCACTTCTCAAAATGTAATACAGTCACAAAGTATATTAAAAAAAACTATGTTTTTCTACAGGTCAGTAATGGGATCAAGGCCCTATGAGCAAGGGTCAAAACTTTAAACATCATAGAAAAAAACATTATCATCTTTTGAAATAATCACTTGAATTTTTCAACACCATTTCAGAAGAGAATGAAAAACATAATTCTTCTACCAAAAAGTTCTTACTTTCTTTGAAATTCTTCCTCCATTCTTTTGACACCAAGTTCTGTTTGGTGCAGCTTGCTCTCCAACTCTTGTATCCTACAACCATAACACAACATCTTAGTTATATGCTTCTGTTAACAAAGAAAATGTTGTCTACTGATAAATTTTTATTGACATTGTGGAAGGAAAAAACTGGTAAAAATAAAATCTTCATTTATTCTGTTCAAAACTTAATGTGAATTTACCATGATAAGATGACAAAGCAGACATTGAAATACTAGAGATTTAAGAATTAGTGATTTTACATGCTGACTGAAAAAAAAACTATTATAGTAGACTAACTGAGCTCATAACAGAGCTGGCAAAAGTCTTTACTGAATTACCTGGCATCTTTCATGGCCTGCATATCATTAAATTCCCATTCCTTTTCCTTAAACTTTTTCTCAAGTGTCCTGTGATTTTGATCCACATGGTGAAATTCTTTCTCCGTTTTCTCTCCAGCTTCCGACAACATTTCCACATCTTTGGTCAACAATTTGATCTACAAAAGTAACAGAGACCATTCAAATGAGATGATATAAAATGACCCTTTCCTTCCCCAAAAAGAAATCGGTGTCTGGTTATATAATCCAAGATAAAAAAATATTGTTCGAAGCAGCAAACAAAACAGGGTCATTATACAAAAAGTGTGAACGTGTCAGTAACTCACATTTTGTGTGATATTTGCATTACTTTTAAATTACTGCTGATTTATTTCAATTAACAGGTATTCTCAGCCAAGAAGTAGATTTTTTTAAATTACTATTTTAATTCACTTGAATTGCCCTAAACAGATGTATCATCAAAATGCAGATACAAACTTTCAGTTCATAAGCAAGAATCTGGCCACTCTTCTCATCCATTTGTGTCCTGAACTCATGTTCTCTTCTTTTCATAGCCTCATCAAAACCTGAAAGAAATGTGTAATTTAAAATACAATTGAACATTTTTATGTCTTTTATATACTTAATTTAATTAATTTATTTCATTTATTTATACACCACTAAAAATGGTAAAAATTGAGAAAATTTTTCAAATGAATATAATTTTTCAAAACAAAAGACTCACTTAAATATCTAATGACATTTATATCACTAGAGTTGCTAAAATATCCCATACCTGCAGTAATTTCTCTTTTCTGGACATCAAGTTCACCCTCAACTTCTCGAAGCTGATGTTCCAAATTCCTTTTGATGTTTTCTAGTTGTTCTCTTTCAGCTTTAATCTCAGCCTCTTTCTCACTACAAGTTCAAATTATGTATGATACAGGCCAACTTAAAAACATTTCTTTCTGTAATAAAGCATTAAAACTTAAATATCCTGTCTTCTTTAAAAACCAGATTAACTTCATGAAGACATAACAAAAACAGGTCAAAGAATAAATAAAAATATTTTTTTCTGCAAATAAGAAAACACAGACTGCAAAAAGTAAAACTTGTGCATTGAAATTTGAAAATTGTACAGTATACCTCCTAAACTGGTCAACTTCTGTCTGTTTCTCTCTCATTCTTTGTTGATAGTGCATTTGAAGCTGCTCCTTAGCATGCTCTTCTCTTTTCAGACTGGCACATAGCTCATCTTGTTGTATCTTCATCTCACTGATTTCTCCATTCTTGGCATTGATGGCAGCTTTCAATTCTGGAAATTTAATCTCTGTCTTTTAAATTACTAGTATTTGAAAGTTGGTGCATTATTGCATTTATCAGTTTCAAGCATAAATCACCAGTGCCTGTTCATTTTTATGTAAAATGTAACAAATACCTAAGTGCTCATGTTGAAATTACACAGTTCGGCCAATAGAAACCTGTAACTGTTTAAGCTTAACTTATAGATGACTTGCTGTGATTGTTTCAAACATACAATGACCACTTGTTAATAGTGTTAACCATATCACAGACCTCCAAAAATTGCATCATATCTTTCCAGTTCCACATCCCGTTCCTCTAGCAGTTTAAGGTTATATTTGAAATCCTCTTTAAGTTTCATAAATTTGGCATTCTCTTGATTCAGTTGGTTTTCCTTTTCTTTGTATGCTATTTCCAATGTGTGGTTTCTGTAATTGAAAAAAGTTGATATAAAGTTAGCATATTCAAAGAGTAAGTGCAATAGACAAAATTGTAAATTGCTAGGAGTATTGCAAAATTCTGTGGTATGCTCTTAACTTTTCAAAGACAAATACTAGTATAGATCAAAATGCTGAAGAAAGTATCTGAAATAGTCATGTAAGCGATTCTTCACCAGATCTTTTAGGTGTATGGCATTTGAGTTCTACACAGTCCAGTGATAAAACCACCTGGATTGCTATTTAACATTAGAATGCCAACACCTTTTGCACAACAAAGTAGTATAAATATTTTAGTTTTAATGTTGTATTACGTTTAATGTCTTAGTTTTGAATTAAGACAACACTGTCCCCACATTTCACTTTAAAGCAATCAAACTCTGCCTTCAGCATTTAGTAAAAAAAGTTCTACAGTCTATCTTATACTGCTAATAGGCCAGAAGGGGAGGAAATAATTGAGGATAAAAACAAGTGCTAGAGTAGGGTTAATTTGAACATATTCTACCTCAATTCCTGCAATTCTCTCCATTCTTTCTCCTTCTGGGCAGCAAGTTCCCTAAGAGATTCACTATCTGGTGGCGGAGGCTGACTCATGGCAGAGCTTTACATGTGCAGTAGAACATATTTTCCTCATACATTTGGTTTGATGCTTGAATCCCTACTCAGCATCACATTCATGAAAACCGCATAGAATCAACTATTGTTCTGAAAAGTGTGGAAGGATCTATTAGTATTTAATTTACTTCAAATTTCAATATGTGACATTACAGCCTTGGCCCTAAATGCCAATTAAACAGAAGCCGGACTAGTAAAATTTTGGAAAATTATTAAGTTAATGGTCACTATGTATATTTTTTAGACTCTGGTGTAAAAGCTGTAACATGGGAACATAAAGCAATTTTTTGATTGCATTACTACTTGTTCGGCAGCAGCAGTGGCAAAGACACCCTGCAACACCAGGCAATAAATGCACATTTAACAATCTAATTCTTAAATAATTCTATGTTCATTTTTACGGAGTTCTGGGCCAGTGAATAATACAAACCAAAGTTTCCTCCAAGCCTCGTTTTAAGTAGGTCAGTTTTGTCTTATCAAAATAATTAAATTATTGAAGGTACTGCTTAATTAAACATTCCCTACAGAGATTGGAGTTAAAACTGAAAAAAAAACTCAATTTTTTATAGGTTAAATTATGATTGTGTCGAAGATGACGCTACAAATACTCCACTCAAACCTTCTGCGACACCCATCACGACAAACGTAAAGGGATACTATATAAATCAGTACCCACTGAAGGCATAACACCCACGAGTTTTGAAAGGTTACAATTTTTCGGGCGCTGGGGAAAGTGGGGTATTTTGTCTGTGGTTTTGTATCTAACTTGCAAGCAGGTTCGTTTATTATACTGAGTTTATTACGACAATATCCGGATAATTAAAATATTATGATTTGATAACAATTTATTCCGGTTATCAATATAATGTTGAAAATATTTAAAATCGTGTCGTTTCATTACAGATAATTGGTGTGCACAATGGAGAAAGTTGAAGAGCTTATACGATGTTATGAAACAAGAAAATCCACAAACAGCTCAAGCGACGGCACCCAAAACAAAACAACCCTTTCTTTGAATTCTCTTGATCTCAAAGTTATACCTACAACTGTATTGAAGTTGAGTTTCTTGACACATTTATACTTGGACTATAATGACATAACACATCTACCTGACAATCTAGGGCAGTGTCTCACATCACTTGAACTGATATCTCTCATTGGAAACCAGTTAAGCAGTTTACCAGAATCCGTAGGAGAAATGACAAAACTTGAGCAGATTTTCCTTAATGAGAACCAGATCACCCAGCTGCCTGCTTCTCTCTCTGGCTTGCAGAAGCTGAAAGTCTTAAATTTTATCGGAAATGAACTAACAAGTTTGCCTGATGATTTTGGACATTTGATCTCACTTGAGCAAGTGTATGGGGAGGAAAATAGACTTCGCTTGCTCCCAGATTCCATCTGTTCTTTGGGGGAACTACAAGTGTTGGATCTGTTTGGTAATAAAATCAAGAGCCTTCCAGATAATATTGGTCAGCTCATAAATCTACAGGTGCTAAATCTTAGAGAAAATGCACTGTTAAGTTTGCCCAGCTCATTCAAGGATCTGTGTAGTCTAAAGCAACTAGATCTCTCATACAACTCTCTCCAATATTTGCCAGAAGACTTTTTATCATCTCATTCCTTGGTCAAGCTTTATGTGGATAAGAATGAACTGAAGTGTTGTCCACCTTGGATCAGTGACATGCCAAATCTAGAGGAACTATCACTTAAAAGCAATCTTTTGTCTGGGCAGTCACTGTCTGATTCATTTGGCGACAATTGCAAGAAGTTGAAAGTTTTGAGACTTTCTGGGAACTTCATGAAGAAACTCCCAGACTCTCTGGGCCAGCTGCAGAACCTGGAGTACATCCATTGTGGGAGCTTTCTAGATGAATTGGAGAGAGGCAACTTTCAGAATGGAAATCATTTGCAATACTTGCCTGATAACTTTGGCTGGTTGACCAAACTGACAGAAGTTCGGTTTGATGAGAATCACCTCCATGCTTTGCCAGAAAACATAGGTGGTCTGATCAGTTTGAGGTTCCTGGATTTAGGTAATTGTTCACAAGGCAGTATATTGCCTAAAATTGTGGCACTTCTTCTCACATTCCAACTCTAATTTCAAGGTAGCTTTTTCTCTGTGATTGTGTTTTAACTGAAACTTGTTAAAACTTGTAAAAATGAAAATGATGATAATTCATTGAAAAAAATACTGAAATTTTACAAAATATGAACATGTGTACTGTTATCTACATTCTCTTTATAATAAATATATTAGTAACAAGAGACCCTTCCTGACACTGACTTGCTGACACTTACAATAAGTAAAATTAATTTTTTTACTGGTTATTAATAGTGATAATTCCTATGGTCATGGGTTATTTTAAAAAATTCTTGAAAATTTTTTTCAGGTCAGAATATCCTGAGAGTCCTTCCAGAGTCATTTGGTCAGTTGCAGTCTCTTGAAGTGTGCTTGTTGTCCAGGAACCAAATACAGATCTTGCCAGAGTCATTTGGCAATTTGACCAGCCTCATAGAGTTCAGAGTGGACAATAACTTGGTAAATTTAAATCTGTTGTGTTTCAGTAGATATATTCTGGCTTATAACCTTTCTAGATGAACAAAACACAGGTTTAATGATTTAGCATCACCTTTGTAAATTTTTTTGGTTTCATGCGTCAACTCTTTTTTTATGCAAAAAAAAAAAAAAAAGAAAAAAAAATTGAAAAGGCCAATGGATAACAGCAAGGATATATTACCATCTTGGTAATTCATTCTTAATATTTACATACTAGACTGTTTGATATTATCATCTTACTTTTATATATTCAAGCATATTTGGGGTGATTACTTCATCTGTTCAATGCTACAAAGTTGATTATTTCAAATTTAGCTTGCTAGGTTGCCGGAGTCATTTTGCAAGTTGACACAATTGAAGACTTTAGATCTGTTTCACAACAGATTGGAAGTTATCCCCCAGGCACTGAGCTATCTCACCAACTTGGTCAGGTTGGACCTAAATGAGGTGAGTTTTCTCTTTTAATTTAACCTATTCCTAGTTCACTTCAAATGCATAATGATCATTTTTACCACCATTTTGACAGTGTTAACTCTGTCAAAGCCCAAATTTTAATGACAAAAGAAAAGTACATCTGGAAATGAGAATGTCTCCAAGCAAACATTTTCTGTCAAGTTTGATGAGCACTATGAAATTAACAAATTGCTGCAATGTCTGCAGGTATTTTCATTGTATTTTTTTGCATGTGCAATTGCAGAACAATTTTGGTCTCCCAGTGGAAGAGATTCCAAGTATTCTCATCAATTCCAAGTATGCCCCGAGAGACAAGGCTCTGAGTCACAACTGGAGAGGACGTGGAAGGAAGGATCAGACAGAGATTGAAGTGACTAAGGTTGGTGGCCATTTTACCTAGGCAGACATCATGCTTGTGGATTTGTCGTGCCTCGTTTTTAACATCTGATTCAGAATTTCCATAGTCATTTATATGAACATTTAAAAGTTTTTTTTTTTCATTTTTTGGACTCACAGGTCAGTTACTTTAATGGAGTTAGTAAAATTTTGAAATTAAAAAAACCTTGGCCGCAGCTTTTGAAGAAGCTGAAATAGATTAATAAGCATTTCAAATTTATTTTCCCATCGGCAAGCGTTTATTTTTTATTTTTGACAAGTATCTAATCACATTTCAGGTAGAATCCACTGTTGATAAAAATGAAGCCGAGACTGAACAAGAAATACCTTGGAATCCAATTATACTGAATATTGCAATGAGAAGAAACATGTCCCTGTGGAAGTCTCATGAAAGTGGCGCCACCAAGAGGGAAAAGTTCAGAAGGGAGGACGTAGTATGGAGACAACCAGAGCTGGAAAACAGAAACGTAGAGAGTTCTGATGAAGAGTGGGAGACATTACCAGAAATATGTGAGATAATCACAATTTTTAAAGCAAAAATTTGTGAAATTGTTCTTTCATGTTACCAACTAATGGTCATCCCCTGAAAACTGCAAGTCAAAATCAAAATTAACCCCTTTGTAGGCAAAATACACAGATAAGAAAAAAATGTCTAAGAAAGATACTAAAATTTCTTCTAGTCCAAGAAGAAAATTATCTTTGACAAATTCCATTTTTTATTAGTCAGATGCCAAGTTTCCTAGTGGGCAGCTGGTGGACTATTGTCTTATGCCATAAACTACACAGGAGTAGGATTCCAACTGATTACATTTTCATGATTCATGAAAAACAAATTGTTGACTGTCCTTAACTAGTGCCTCCAGCGGGCAGAAATATTTAGACATATATTTTCTTCCTGTTTATAGCCTCTAGTGACCTCTCCAGCAGCATGGGCAGTGTTGTGACATCTTCTATAGAGGGATACTCAATTGGTGACACTGCCATCAGGGACTTAATTCTCCAGAGCAAAGATGATGAGGAAATGGAGGATTGGGATCAAGAGGCAGATGAGGATCCATACTGTGAGTGCAGTTGATTTTTGGTGGCATTTTAGATGATATACACCTTTCTGCTTTTTTTCTCACAATTCTTTTTATATTATTAAAATATGAGATTATTTATATTATTGTAATTACAAGGTTTCCACAAATTTGTTGTATCAAATACGGTCATGTATAATAATCAGTTTTATTGTTTATGATAATTGAATGACTATTGTGGATTGTTCCCTCCTTAATGACAATAATTTGTATTGTACTTTAAAATCATATTTTACCAGGAGACAGTTAGTAGATTAAAACAATATATCCAGACACATAAAGGACCTAGAGAATCAGTTACATTTTGAAATTATCTGGTATTGGCAAATATACTGGCAGTCAATGAAAACACATCATTTATTTATCAAATAATATTTTAAGTTCCTTTGGCACATTACGAAAATAACAGTTTTGTGTGAAATATGAAATAGTGGTCAGCCCACTCTCTTATGACCAAACAAGTGCATTTGTACTCGTTTATATGGTTGGGATCGATTCTCGGTAAAAAAGTACAAGAAAGTTTTCTGATGCATTTTCATTGACTGTCAGTATATTTTATATTACTTTCTTTTTATAATCCTTCGAGGAGGGAGTTTTTAAATAACTGACAGTCCACAATTTTTTCACAAAATAAAAAGGTAAGATATGCATATTTTGAATTATTCTTTCTAGATTCTGTCCCAATATACAAACACCAAACTGTGTATCCCAGGGATACAAGTCCTGTAGATCACCTCTTTGTACCAGATGATATCCATGTGCCAGCAATATGCCGACCACAGGTCAGTTTTCCAGTGGAGGAAGGTCAGTTTGATGATGTGGACAATGAAGATGACAATTGGTGAGGGAGTTGAAGTACTTGCACAACTTTTTTTATTTCAATTGCATACTAATATATGCATGTGGATGACTGCAAACCCAGAGAGTGCCCATTTGCAAGGAGGATCAGTGAATTGCATATAACAGTGAAGAGAAAGTTGGACGTTTGGAAAAGCCATTGTGTGACATTTAAAGTTGGAATATCTGGTAATGACTCTTTTTTTCAGTGGAGGAAAATTGATTTTACAGGTACTGAATTTTTTTTACCTCAAAATTTCCTGAAATTAGAAAATTTTTGAGCGATAGCAACAGACTTGAGAAGCAGGCTACAGAGTATTTCTGTTCTATATGGTAAGAGCCACACAAATGAAACAAATTTTTTTTTAAGATAACAAAATTAGGAAGATTGATAATTTTTTCCCCACTGAAAACATCAGAGTCTTCACCATTGTTCCATATCAGGATTACTTTTAAAAACCGTCTCATTGGTTAGGCAGCATAGAAATAATTTAAAGAAGGCATACAAACTTGTAAGTGAGGTGAACATGAGAAGAAAGTTCACTTTTGATTCAAATAAAAAAGACTTGGTACAAAAATTAATTGGTAAGATTTATTTTTTTACGTTTTGTTACATAATGAAGCATGAGCAAGAAAAAGTCATTCCATTTGACTAGTAATCATCTAATAAATACCTGACAAAAATACTGACTAGATTATTTACACACTGAAACTTGAAAAATAAGAATTTGTTTCATCTGACTAGAATGAAACAGTTCATGTTTTTGAACATATGTTGACTAGAGGAGCAGTTTGGCCAAGTAAAACCGTGGCACATTTTCCAACAGTCAGTATTGTAATATTAAAATTACAGAGAGATCACTCATTGCTGTGGGTTGTAAAGTATCAGCTCAGAAAAGATGACCAAACAATGATAAAACTCATTCACTTATTTTAGGCTTAAAATATGAATTGCCTATTCCACTCTTAAGAACTAACAATGAAAATGTCTTGTCAGCATATTTCATATTAATAGTTTGAACTCGCTACAAAAGAATGCAGAGTTATATGCCTGAACTGATAATTAACCACTTCTTTCATTACGCATTCAGCATGAATAATTGATCCCTTAAAGTCTGAAAAATATGCCTTAAAATGCTGGTATGTGATCATATTGAACTGTTCTGAAAGTGTGCATTATTGCACTTAATTATGTGCATGTCTCGTGTTCCCCTTAAAAATTCTTACTGCGACAGCCTTAAAATAAAAGCTTTAAGAAAGATACTAAAACAATAATAGAAATAAGATTTAAATTCAAAACTTTATACTTCTCTCCAGCCACCTGCTAAGGTTGCAGCACCTGATGTAAAAGGACTATCATTTGTAATGAAAATATAAATGTGTATAGTATATTAAAATGTAATGCTATATAAGAATGAATGCCACATTTTTGTTTTAAAACAATTTTACTTTGCGATGGTTATAAAAAACTTTAGCAAAACACTGCTGACACAAATAATTGGAACTATTAAACTTAATATTCTAAAAAAAAAAAAAAAAAACACTTTTGTACCAAGTGCTTAATATATGCTATTTTGTTCTGCAATTATCACAGTGTTATAAAAATCAGTCTGAGAGAAATAAAAAACATTAAAATTAAGTAATACCATTTAAATAGAAGCAATTCAGCTAAATTCTGACCATTTTTCTTTGTCTGAGGAATGTGCAGAGCAGAAAACATTAAATGCTGAATGCTTGAAACCACACCTTTTCATCAAACAAAAACATAAAATTCACAATCATTTTTCCAGAATCAGTTTTAAGAAGTTGCACATAGTTTGGTATAAATCAAAAGACATTTACATTATTTTGACATGAGACTTTACACACATTTTCTCTTAAAATGACTAGTATCAGACAAGTTATAATCTTTACAGAAAATATAATACACTAATACATAACAAGTACAAGTATGAAATGATTATGTGATGACAAATATATATGTTTACAAACAGAAATTTAGTCATCAAAATGTAATTACAGTTGAAACCTTTTCCTTGTTAACTAAATCAGAATAATTTTTTAAGAAATCCCCAAAATAAAATGATAATACGAATCAGAAATGGATTTAGAGTAGAAAAACATTTGACGAAACCTCAAAACCTGCATAGATTACCAGGATTATATTCAATATGGTGACATCTTATTTATAAAATAAAATATAAGAAAAAGTTTATGAACTCTTTATTTGTTCAAAGAACCTGAAAATTCCCCGGATTCACATTGGGAATTTCCTCAGATCTTTGCTATAGCAAATAGCTTACAGATGCTGATTTTTGAGGAGTTTCCATAAAACTCTGAAACTGGAGGCACCAAGTATGTTCCCTTACATGTTTGATATCTTGTGCAATCTGCCTACATCAATTTGTACACACAATTTAGTATTTATTTACAACTGTAATAGAAAAGCACTCTTACAACTCTCAATTTAACCCTTCTCCAGAGAATAATAGAACAATCTGCTGACTTAAACCAATGTCTTCCTGTAAGACCTACAGACCATCCCCTGTGAAACCTATCTTCCCAAAATGAGCAAAAGGAGACTTTTTCTTTTGATATCTATTATCAGGTTTCTCTTGTGTTAAAGGCATGCTGCCCAACTTGGTCTTTCATTTGTTTACCTGGCTCCAGGTACAAGAGGTGCAGAGCGATCATTTGTAGCAGTTTTCTTCAATTTGACATTGGCGAATGGATTGTTTCTGAAACAAACAGATAGGAAATTCTTACTTTAAAGTTTTTAATGTTGTTATTACTGATAGACACGTGTAAAGAAACTGTTGAAGAACAAACTAGACATAAAGGATGGCACATAAACAGACACTGCACAAAGATATTAAAAGATACAAAATCAATGACATCTTTGCAGGAAAGGTGATTAAAAGAGTTTCTCTAGCTATAATAAAAAGATTTATGTCTTTCACTGTTCACCATCTGTTTTTTTTTCTGATGGCAACAGCATGGAGAAACAATGTATATAATATAATGCTAACTGCACTGAAAAGGTGTGACTAAACTGGAATGTATGTAAAAAAATGGAACAATTTACCAAGAAAAACAGCTAAACTGATTGTACACTTTCACATAAATGGGTTTGAAGCACCAAGCCTTAAGGAAAATTTTACAACGGGAATCCAACTTCTCATACCATTGTTTAGTCCCGTCGGATGGATTGCTCATGTGATACTGTATAAATAAAACCAGTTTGACACCAACATAAACTTAAAGTTTTGGAGTACAAAAGCTGGTAAAATTCAGAAAACACAGCAAAAAGGAAAAGGTTTAGAACACCTGTTATATCTCACTTCATGGGCTGTTTAAAAGTAAATATGTCACCAAATGATATAATTTGTCACAACATAAACTTCAATTACCAACTTTCATTTCCGAAATAATGTTCAAGTGGTGATCATATGTGATAGTCCTCTGCTGAGAAATCTCCACCAAAACAATGGTTTTAAGTTGTGTGATAATCAGAAAAGACAGCAATGCTATAATGACACATTTACCTCCACAGTCAGACCCTGACACCAGAAGTTCCTTGATCAACACAACTTCAGGGACCTCACTGTTACACAAAATCACTCAAGACTGAACATTTTTTCAACTTTAAGACCAAATTTGACCTAAGATAGATAGGTAGTAGTCCAGTTAAATTTAATATTTTGCCCTTTTTATTTAAGAAAAGAAATGACTGACATTGCATACCAGATTTTTCAGGTTTTAAAGTTGAGACCAACTTTCAGTTTCAAGTTCCTTTGTGTAAACTGCCTAAGGACCTTTCTGACTCATGTACCCTATACCAGAGATCAGCTGGACGAAAACATGATTTCTGTGCTAAAATTTTAGCTGTACAGAAATGTGCACAGAATTAGCCCGAGTAATAGTGAATGTGAATATCTGGAAAAAAATCTTTCCATAACACTGGTAGACAGTAGGTAACAGGCAGAAGTGTAGCTATAGCTGCCTCCATCACCACAAGACATGAGGACACTTACAAGGAAATTTTTCTCACTTTCAAGTTTTCCATGTTATTTTTTCTACAAAAATTATCAGATTTTTTTTTTTTGCAAACCTACACACAAAGTTCATCATGTAGTTTATTAACATTTAACTTCCAAAGGAACAACACTGAAAAAATCCACCCAGCTTTCTCAAGAAATTTTATAGAGGACTTCCAAATAGAAAAAAAAAGAACCTTAAATAACAAATTTCTTTACCTATTACATGCTTAATGTGGATCAGTATCTGAAATAATAATAGAATTCATGCAAGTGCTACTAGAATACAGTAAGTCAGTACTAGAGTTAATTATTTCATGAAGGGGTGGAATGTTGTTGGGGAGGTTGGGCACAGACATCAAGTGTAATAATAAAATTATCGTTTCAACAAGCTGGGAGTATATGGTCATACTAAGCTTAGTAGAATATGTCATGAAATGAGGGGGGTAGGGATTATGCATTCTTAATCATACATTAAAGGGGTGGGGGAGGGAAAGAACATTTGATTGCACTTATGGTTTATAATATCATGGAATGTTTATTATTTATTTTTTTAAAAATTCGCACAGTTCAAGTTTTCAAACCAGAATTGAGAATTACATCCTTTCCTTTCCTCCCTCTTTTCCAAACTAGAAATTGGTGTTTGAATTGAGATTTAATAAACATTCTGGGTCCAAAATATCACATAGTAAAGATAAAGTAATATTTCTGTTGCAGTGAAAAAACAATTTTTCAATTAAAATGGTGGGTCAGGTACTTTCAAGATTAAAATATCATCACTGCTTGAATGGCAGACAAAGATCTAAGGAGGAAGTAGTCCAAGTCAGGTTATGGATAATTAGGCCAATGCAGAGTTAGGATATGAGTGCATGAAGGTCAAACCAGACCAAAAAGTTTACAGAACTTCCATTTTACATTCTAATATCTTCTTAACTTGTCTTAATGATTTTGAAGATTTGGTGTGTACATCAGATCCATCAAAAAACGTGAACAGCAGTTGAGCAAGGTGAAACTGATACTGTCACAGTGTAGTAACCTTACCATGCCATATATCATGGTGCTTTAAGTTCTCTACAGAAATACAACAAACACCACCTGTTACTAGTCACTAACAAAACAAGTCCTTAATAAAACCAGAAATCTACATAACAAATCTAGACATACATATTATTATTAGAAATACAACAAAATAAGTCTTACTTCTGGGAATCCTCATCACTGTAGTCTGCAGCGGGAGGGGAGTTATGGTGGCCGGCTCTCCCGTAGGGATCCTCCATGGCTGAGCTCCCCCTAGACGAAGACCTGTCACTCTGGCGATCCTGCGACATATGAGGGTTATTATAATACCTGGGTCGCCCTGGGCTGGCCCCCTGATGCTGGGAGTGGTAAGGAGAATGCCTGCTGTAACCATTAGGGTCATGGCTGGCTGGGGAGTAGCCACCAGGACGCTGAGGGTGACCTGGCTGTCCATTTGGATGGAGAGAGGAAGGAGGCGGAGGAGGAAGAGGTTGTTTGTGATTGTCTGCGATTGGTGGAGGTGGAGGGGGTGGCGGCCCTCCTGGGGTCAGTTGGCTGATGTCAGGGGTACTCTTGGCATGGAACTGGAAAAAATATGAAGCTAGGTTTTAAGGATTGGAACGCTGTTTTTTTTTTCCCAGCAAATTGATTTATGATTGTTGCACATGGAAAAGAAATATTCTTTTCAGTTTTGTTGCTCCATGTTGGCATTGTAAGCATAACTGTGCCATCATAGTGCAAGAATGTACAATATGAAATATGTTTATCAGAAAAAATAAATGAAGAATGTTGCTGAAAAAAAAAGACTGTGCATTATCACACTTCCATACCTGTCAAACAAATCAACCATGCTGTCAAATATCAAAGCTACTTTAAAGTATTTAAAACAGTAATACAAACTCTAGAACCAAGCAAAGTCACACAGATATTTGAATTATATTTCTACAATACATTTTCATGCAAAAATGAAGCCAGCAGAACCTGCAAAAACAAGAAGCAACTAAATAAATATTCATCAATGAATAAAACATTTCACATGCACATACACAACATGTTATTACTAAAAAAAGCAGTACTATCCATAAAGCAAGCAGGGTAATGGAAATTTGTGTTGGGGAACCAGTGATATAGGGGGTCATGCCATAGAAACACTCAGTGCTGGGTTTCTTCTCATAAGATATATACAAAGACACGTCACTCCAGCCAATGCATGCACAGTACCTGTGCTGTATCGTTGTTGTAAGAATCATTCCCACCACCAACGCCACTGCTCCCACCACTAACACTAGGACCGTATCCCCCATCATCATGTGTTCCGTTCACGCTGACTGCGCTTCTATTCTCCTGTTTCGGATGGTGGAGATGATGATCGTAATAACTGTGCCTAGAGTTCACGGGCTGAATAGAGGGAGTCCCATCACCATAGTAAGAACCACTGTGTTGATGTTGATGATAAGCTTTAAGTCCAGTGTTTGTATTACTATGACTACTGTTGGAATGGTAGTTGTTTGATGGCCTGCTATTATGCATTGGTCCACCAGAGTAGCTTATATTGGCATCTCTATCATAGTCATTTCCATGATTCTGGTGATGTGCCCGATGTCTATAGTAACCTCCTTGCTGCCCAAGTGGCACAACTGAGTATGTCTTGGTACCCATATGGGGTACAGCATACCCCCCTTCCAACTGAGGTGGGTGGGCAGGTGGGGGAATGTCTGGTAACGGAGGGGGCAAAGGTTGTGGAGTTGATGGAGACTGATCTGATTCCTGCGGAAGCCCAGAAAGAAACACACACCATGTCAGATACAGCAGAAGCCAAATTACATTAATTTAAGAGTGAAAAGATTAGTCCACTTAATCAATAAAGTTAAAGGAAAAGCAGGATGGGATTAACTCCCAAATTCCCCAAAGCCCAACAATTCCCAAGAAATAAATTAGATTGTTAAAATTAGAAACACCAGTGGTTATGTCGATCATTGTTCTGAAAATCAGCACCATACCATCATGCTCTTCCCTATGTAGCCATCTTCATATGGCTTAGGCATGGTTCTGCTGCGTGGATCTGGACTGACTCCAGAGTCACTGCCGTCAGATTCGTCTGCCAATAAGTCCCCCATACTGCGCACTCTCTGCATCATGGTTTTGCTGGTTGAAGATAGGGAAAACATGCGACATTAAACTTTTCAGTCCACTGAAGAACTATAAAGCTTCAGAAAACTACCAGTCTAAATCAAAATTATTCTATGAGATGAAATCCATACGTTTAATTTGTTTAATTCTCTAGAATGGCATTGCACAAAAGGATAATTTAAACCAATCATTCAACAGAAGGGGTGAAATTTGAAGTAAATGCAAAAAAAAAAAAAAATTCACTTGTCAAAAACTAAATCCACCATTCAGCTGCATCAAACTGACAGCTTATGTCACAGACTGTTTTTTATAATAAAAGTTGCGTCTTAAGATCTAAATATTTGGAGCCAGAAGTGGTTTTAATCCACAAATGTTTCAAGAAAAAATGGTCACTAGGTGATGTATGTATGCATGCATGCACGCACACACAAATATAAAACGCCATTTTTCTGCTGCTTAGATACTTACCTCCTGTTAGGTGCTCTGTTAACTTTCTCTGTAAAGGACACTGGGAACCAGCCCCGTCTAAAAAGTAAACCATAACTCAAAAAGATGATCATATATAAATTTTAAATTAAAACTGCCAAAAATGTTTCTCTCAAAATATATTTTACTGTTGATAAATGCTTTACACTACATTACAATATATTTCATTTGAATGGCCTAGAATTTATATATATTTTTAAATTTTTATCAGAAGCTGGAAAATACAGATCTAAATAATTTAAATTGTCTTTCTATTTGTACTAGTCTTCCTCATGGTGTGTAAATTAAGAAAACAATGAATTTCATCTCATTGTACTTAAAATAATAAACATTACTTAGATGCAACATCTGTTAAGTATTTCTCATTTACTTCTCATTCATTGCCTCCACCTCTTTAATGAAAGGCTTAAGCACATAATTATGTATTTTTAACTGCACTCTTTACCTATCTGTCCTGGTATTCTCTCCATAGTGCCATCCCTTATTCTCCTCGCCTATCAGGACCACGATGTCCCCTTCAGTAAAGCTGAGCTGACTGTCTTGTTCTGCTACATGTGTAAACAGCGCTCTCACACAAGACAAGCCACTACCACCAGATGGAGGCAGTGACATCTCTCTGGGCAGTGTCATAGCTGTAAGGAATAAAACACTAAGAATTCTTCTGTTTTTTTAAACTTTCATTTATGCCATTTTAAAATTTATAAAAAACTACTTTATTTTACCATTTTAAATTTTATTAAACAACTACTATACACTAACATTTGATGACTGTCATTAATATTGCAAGTGTAATTTTATATTTTTTCATAATAGCTTTCATTTATATTTTTAGATTCATCACATATTAAATACCTTACACCAAATTTTGAAATAAAGGCCATGTTTAAAATAAGATGAAATGATTGTTATGTTCAGAATGCGTGACTGATAACTTCTGAACTGGCAACAAACATTTTTATGAGCCTGCTTTGTGTATCAAAACTGACCATTTGTAGATCCCACTTGCTGTCAAATTATTATTATTATTAATATTATTATTATTATTACCTCCTCCATGATATTGTCCAGTGAACTCTACAGAGGATGTTGGCCTTCCATTTGGCATCCTATTTTCATGACTGCCGGTGCTGTTGGCATCTGTCCCCTTTCTTCTACGTCCCATATCCTCTCCACTGTAAGAGCTCATGTCATCGCGCATGTCATATGTGTTACCATATGAATCCTGGGTAAAAAGTGAAAGATTTATATACATATATTTATATAATGAATAAATAATATTAAAAATTCATTAAGAAACAACACTGAGTTTAAGTAAATACTATGGAGTCCTCCGACTTACAATCCTGCATATAAATTGTTGACACTATATCTTATATTAATTACCAGTATAACTCGGTATGTAACAAAGTTACATCATGAACCAATACTTGTGCCAATGAAGACTTCCCAGATTTATTTTATGATAGAAAATTTCTCTTGCCTGTCTTCCAAGTCTCGTCATGGCTTCTACTGGGGGAGGTAGGGTGCCAGGGTTTTTGCAGGCATTCTCCCACTCTGGGAGTCTGTGACTTAGCAAATCATGGGACTGAAACAGTGAGAATGTTTTGGTAAAAATGACTGGATTGTGATGTCAGTTCTATTCTTCTTCACCTTGTTCCTTAGATTGCTAAAGCAGGTTAAATATCGCTGTGAATTAATTTAGGAATGAATTGATGAATCAGAAACATTAGCCAAAAAATTGACATTTAGAAAGTTTCTGCACAAGATGCTGGAATCGATCCAAGGTAGGGAAATGAGACCAATATTTTGATTAACAAAGAAAAAATTCCATGAAGACAAACCATATTCCCCTGGCCATAAACCCTGTTAAAAATAAACTAGATATTTTTCCTGAGCCAACACAAAACATCACAGAAAGGCTCTCATATCCAGAGTTTGTTCATTTCTTTTGTCTTGAGGGAATATTGCTAAGCTTTGCTAATAGACTTTTCTCGCTTGTACAGATCTTTTCTTGGAATGATTTTCCACTCAGAGAGAAAAGTGAAGCAAAATATAGTTACTGTATCATAGAACCTATAGAAATCTCTCTCCCCTCCCCTCAAATTTATAATATACTTAAGTTAACAGCATATCTTTAAAAAATCTCAGCCATATTAAAAAACCAATTACTGCAAGTAATAGTTCAACTAAGAGATATTTCAAACTAGAACTTATGAGGAAAGCCAAGGAATGATATGAACCACACATCACATATTATCTAAATTGACATCTACAAAGCCTTGCATTAATTACCATAGTAATTGGGATGGCACACTTCTACATTCAAATGTTCAAATTTACATGATATTCATTACCCTTAGCTTTAGAACTGATGTATACCAGCTTTTTCATTTTCAAATATCCACATCAATAAAGCACTTACCTGATAAGCAAATAAACGTGAAAAATATCAATTTGAAAAACTGGCCAAAATATTCACCATCCACCTGGAGACTTACACCTGAAGCTGCTATATCACTTACTTGGTTGTGATGTGAGGAGAACCTCTTCATTACTGTGGAAATTCTGTCCAATATAAGACAGTATCTCTTCCTTTCTTCCAACAGAGCCTGAGATGAGGATTTTCATATGTAAGAAGCATATGTAATGTAAGAACCATTGCAAATTTAAATCAATGTGCTTTTGCAGTAAAATTTATGGGTACTGTGTGTGCATTAAAAGATAAGTAAATCTTCAAAACATAGTAAACCCTATAGATACAAAGCTGTGGTATATTTCTTAAATTCAACTGTGCATTTTACCTATATCATGGAGAATGGATTGGGTGCTTAGTGATAGCAAAAAAAAAAAAAAAAAAAAAAAAAAATATATATATATATATATATATATATATATATATATATATATATATATATATATATATATATAATCATAATAAAAATAAATAAACAAATAAATAAGTAAGTAAAAATATACATTTTTTACAAAAGGAATCCTGCCCCTAAAAAACATGAGAGAGAGAGAGAGAGAGAGAAGTGCTCTTTATAAAGTTGTGGTAAACTCAGTTGACCCCTATCGCTCCCAAAGTAAATGTTCTGATAGTATCTCTGGATTAAATGGTAAGTATACAGTAAAATGGAAATTAACTGAGCAACTGGCAGCCTGATAACACTGTCCAGCTTTTGAATATAAAGATAGGTAGTCTTGTGGAAACGACCATGGCATTTTTACACATTTGTAATTTTATATCTTCTAATATTCTTGCTTTTACAGTCTGATGACCCTTAGTTTGCCCTAGAAACTCTCTCTCTCTCTCTCTCTCTCTCTCTCTGAAACATATTAAACAGGAAAATTTAAAATATCTTAAGTTTGTTTTGTAAAAGACTAGATTAATGTTTTGATACAGAATGCCAGATGATTTGCTCCAAAACTCAATGCTGTCTACTGTAATCTTGCTTGGGCCACCAAATTAAAACTTCTGATTAGCATTTGAAATGCTGTGTGTACCTTTAAAAGAGATGCTGGCAAATAAAACTCCACCCAGTCTGAGAGCCAGCCACCAGTCCAAGGTAACTGACAAGTAGATTAAGTGACAAAGCAGTGGAAAAAAAGAGGGTCTTCAAAAGGTCACTTGTCTGCTCAGACTAAAGGACATTTCAGTGGTTCGTTTGGTTTATTTTCCCAATATCTATAGATTTTATCTGCAGACTAGCAGTTTTATAGGGTCCATTTATCCAAGTGACCAGTGAGCTAAAAAGTAGACTGAAAAGGGGCAGACTGCCTACCTGTTTGAAGCCAGAACTTCTGAAGTTTTCCAGCTTGATGCTTGTTTCTTGCACTGCATGCTTATACTAAAAATATAAATTTTATCAATAGTTACAAGGTTGTTTAGCTTTTTAACAGTATTTTCTAACTTCAGTATCCCAATTCAATAAATTAGGCTGATTTAATTTCACTGCTGTAGTATACTGGCACTGACATAGAAGATGATGGTGCTTAATCTTTTATCATTATTAATATGAGTACTAGCACATACATTTGTAAGACTGTCTAAGGCTTCGTTCACATGCAATGTCTATTTTCTAAATTCTATTTTCTATTCGCGCTATCTTATGATCACGGTCTGTGCACTGAATATCCCGCCGCGTAATTACTGGCAGCGCGAGCCAGTTACTTATAGTAACTTATAGTAACTGGCTTGCGCTGCCAGTAATTACGCCGCGGGATATTCAGTGCACAGACCATGATCATAAGACATACCGAAAATAGAAAATAGAATTTAGAAAATAGACATTGCATGTGAACGAAGCCTAAGGTAAGATGAGGGTGCTATAAAGACAGAGTGGTTGATAAAAGTTGAAATGTAAGTATAACATAATGAAGTTTTGAATTTTCGTTCTTATGAAAGTGATGCACTTGAAAAAACAAAAAAACAAAAACAAACAAACAAACACGGACATTCCCATTAAGATTAATGATAATGCAAATGTAGGAAGGTCACTGAACATGGCAGTTTAACCAACCAGCATTAATCTTCTATATTAACTTTTCACAAGTCTCTTCTTGCTCATATAGGCTTCCATAATATATATAATTTTACCAATTTTAGTTGTAAGAAATGAATTACATCACAATAATAAGCATTGGTATAATCAAAGGAGTCTGTTCCTGTTTATGTCAATCTTTTCCATGTGCAATCACTGGAAGACCTCTGATATTAATTTCATTCCTTATGCCTAACTATATACATGTACTGTGTAATAAGCCTTTAGCATGTTAAACTGAATGCTGTCATGTTCTGTTGAATGTATTGGCTACATATCCTTTTTTTAATTCTGGAAGGATTGCCTCTCAGCACATCAAAACATATATATATAAGGGACAGGACAGTTGTTTACCAAATTTTAAAAAGCCGCCCTGGGTTTCAGAGATTGCTGGAAACTTCCTTATTATCAGCATGCTTCTGCAGTCACTGGGAATTATACTAATAACAGAAGTGAGTAATCCAGTTTTCTGTGAACTTCAGGGCACAAAAAGACAGTTTATGTATCACATTAGCAACTAAAAATATGGTCTCCTTCAGTCAAACAACAGGCTTGATGGCGGAAGAGCTGACAATTAATATTGACTATCATACAATTCCCTTTACTACAATGCTCATCTCCACGAAAGAGTAAACATTTTGTTAATTTTCAGGATTTACATTGCTAAACATTGTTCACTCATACAGGTTTATATAAGACCCTAAAATAACAGCCCCATGCTGCTGGTGAAATGATTTTTGCTCATGGCATGAACAGAGGTATCTTTATCACGTATCAGCTTACAGATGTCTGATTAATGGGCTAATAAAGGACATTGGCTACCAAGTGCAAACCTATACTTCTTGTACAAGACAAAACTGCACTGGATTTCTCACATGCATGACCATCTTAGGAAACAGTCCTTTTCATATATACTACACTGTGCATGAGCTATGTCGCATGTCAAGCTTATGCGAGCTGCATTAGGCATACAGTCATGTACTTCTCAAGAGCAGGCTTTAATATCACAGCCTTAGTACCCGCTATCTTCTAATTATAGGCCATATATAAGTAATGCATGCAAGCAATGATCTATAAAAGAGCCTGTAACCTAATGGAGGTTACTGGTCTTCAGGAAATCAAATCTTAAGTTTTTGGGCAAGATATCTGGCTAATACTGGCATACTAAAAGTGAGATGAATTAAATTTCAATGCCTGTTATTTTTATTAAGTATTTAACTTATGATAAAACAGTTAAATATTCCTCATAAAAATAATGTTATCACATGGATTGTCAAGGCAAGTGCTTGCTGATGGGTCATCATATCTTATTTCATAGCACTTTGCTACTGAAACTGAACTGCTTATTAAGCATTATTTTAAACTCTTCACAGTACAAGTATAGGGAAATAATTGATTGGAGGACAAGCAAACATCAACTGACTCAGTACATTTAAGCAGCTCAGGAAAAAAGATCAAAGTGCAAAAGTAGCTTATTAAACAATGTAGCCCTTCAAGGTAGCTGAAATATTGCTCCTGGTGTGGAAAGATAAGACTTAGTTTTATAATTGATGAGGAGCTTTAAAGAAAACAAGAGTATTTTTTGTGCATTAAATATACTGTATTATTTGACTTAACAAACCTTCAATATAAGTTAGAGTATGATAAATATTTCATAGATTAGAAATCCTTGAAATTACCCCCCCCCCCAAAAAAAAAGGGGGGGGGGGTAATGCAGTGTGATCATGCAACATGAAATATTGGTTTTTCACGTAAATTATTTTTCATCAATTACAACATAAATCTGATCTCACCTGGTTTTCTCTGGGATCAGCTATCCCCTTTCCTCTACTCTTCTTCTGGCATTTTTTAAGATTAATGCATGCCTTTTCATGTGGCTGCATCACCATCTTATGTGCTTGGCCATACTTTTTTTGTTCTGCCTACAATGTAACAAAATTTGATGAAAAATATTATTTTTATTGATTTTTATATGATTGAATTTGATTAAAACAGGAAACACATTAGAAACTAAAATATGAAGATTCAGAGTTTATATTACTGTCATAGGTGAAACCAGGTATGTAATATTATAAGCAATAATGTGATTTTATCTTCATTAAAAACGTGTTCTGTTTCTTCTATGATTTACAAAAAGTGGAATATTTGTCAACTATGCAGTTAGTTTTTTGTTTCCTTTACAAATTATTTATTTGTTCGAATTTGAGGTCTTTTTTTTCTCCAAAAAACATACATATTTACACTCACTCACCTGTAAAACTTTATTGTCCCCATCAATCTTACTTTCTAATGGTATCAACAGTTCTGTGTGAAATGTTTTGATCTGGAAAACATAATGGTATATCCAACTTCAATCAGAATAATGGGCTATCACCTATTCAAAATTCACCTGCAAAACGTTACTATTATCCTTAACCCTGTTGTTAACTTAAACTTTCTTCTTCATAATTTAATGACAAAATTAAATTATCCATATGGCATGTTGTTAAGTTAATATCATAACTATCAGTCATAAGTTAATACGATACGCAAGTGTTTTATGGCGCAGTTTCTTAGAACATAAAACACATGCAATTTAAAATCAAAGTGAATACAAAATAAGTAAAGTACCCTGAAGCAATGCAATTGCTGACCTTTGGAGTTATAAACCCAACACAGGGTTGAATCTTATCAAGTCTGGTTCCTTGTACAAACCAGAGTAAGACATGATATAGCATACTGCCTGATATGTACAATACTCTAAGTGAAGGTTTTGTTTGATAAAAAGGATACAATCACAACAAGTAAACTTGTCTCTGAATTATATCCAAACGAATGAAAACCATTACAGTTTAATATAGGATGAAGATGTTTGGGATTCCTTAAAAGTTGATTATTGTTTGATTTTACCCAATCAATTAATGGGCTTATACCTAAAAGTAACCTCTTACTTAAACAGCTTAAAATAAAATATACAGACACAACACTTGCTGCCTCTAGTTAAACCCTCTATGTAAGTGATGTTCACTGTGTATTGGTTATCTGCCCCCTCCCTCCACTCCAACACACACACACACACTGTACTCAATACATGATGTACATGGTTAAGTATAACTGCAGTGCTTTCACACAAAAGTTTCAGAGGTTACTTATTATTTTAAGGTTCTGAAGAGGCAATGGCATCCTGATAACAGAGGTGAGTTTTCAGAGTAGCTTTGAAATTCAAGCTGATCACGCATAGCATGCGCTGAAAAAATGCCAACCTATGACATTATGTTTAGGTGCATGCAAGATTCTGGTCACAATAGCTGCAACAGCACTTCAACAATGAGATGCGAACTTTGTTTAGTCTAACTAGAATGTGTGCAATCTTGTTATTCTTTTTTCTCCTTCTGTGCACTGTAAACTTTTAATTTTTAAACCAGGATGCAGATTTAGCCTTGGCAGAGCCACTGAGAAAAAAAATGATTGAAGAAAATGTTTTTTCCTTTTAAAGGCCAGATCTAAAAGGTAGTGTCAGGACAAAATTTGCAACATCCTGGCTACCAACTCTTTAAAGGAAAAATACTTAAAACTGTAACAGAATGTACAGCTTGGAAAATTAATGATGACAAAAAATTGTAATATAGGAGATTGGGGACAGGGGAGAAAAATATTATCTCTCTTCTGACAAGTCATATCAAGTGGAATCCACAATGATATGAGCCATCTTAAAATGATATTGTATCAGGTACCCTGCAGGGGTGTGTATCACAGTTAGTATACTCACATTTTCTTCCACATCTTTCTGAATTTCCCTGTGTGTGTTTGCTATCTCTGCTAAGGCTGTGCCTGAAACAACACAAAGAACTCATATATACAAGTGTTACTTTTAAGCAGCCATTTGTTTTTTTCTTTTTTTAAAGAAAAATGTATCAGAAATTCTAACTTATATTCCAAATGAAATAATGCACAAAGAAAACAAAGAGGCAGATTTTACTTTTTGATTTCATTTTTCTAGTTTCTACAATTAAACAATTGCAGAACACTGACTTCATCTATTCCCCACTATGTCCCCCACCCCCAACCCCATATTAAATGATTTCACATTAATAAACATAAACAGTGTTCTTACTAAACAATACAGCTATAGTAATTCTCTATCTCAAAGGCAGTAATAATTCTACAGAGATATAAAACAGAACTGTTATGTATGGCATTTGTGGTGCAAGGGTACATTTAGATCTTATCTGCATATTCATAGCCCAGCCTGCTTGGTCAACAGACCTTCCCATGGGCCAGGTTCACATAAGAAATATATAGAATGAAGACTTGTCTGAACTTTAGCATTAAAAAAATTGTCTTTGTCTTCTATGACCTGAGATAAATCAGAGAAGAAGTCTTCTAATTAAGAAGTATTGGACATGTTTTATTATTCAATTTTTAATGTCCAATATTTCAGACCAACAGTTGCTTTACTTAGTGAGCTACAGTGGGTTTGTTCTGTATGAAGTCTATATACCATAAGTAAACTTGTCTTCGATAAAATCAAAACTGACCATTTAAAGTCATTTTGTGATACCTAACACATGACTACTTATTGAACTATTTAACCATAGGAAAAAAAACTTGCAATTAAAATCTCTATATGTAGATAGATATTTTTAATTTCGAACAAATGAAAAGAAGAGGGACTGCCAATAGTTACATTGGGTAGATTTCAAAGTGACACAATCAAGTATGTTGATAAAACACATCATTTAATGTTGATTAAGGACCTATTTAATCATTTATAAACAGTATTGTGCTCCAATCCTAAATGAATGCCAACAGAGGAATCTTAAATGAAATATGGTCCATAAACAGACACACACACACCAATGTAAAAACATTGCAGCTAAGACTAAGGCTTCGTNTTTTTATTGATTTTTATATGATTGAATTTGATTAAAACAGGAAACACATTAGAAACTAAAATATGAAGATTCAGAGTTTATATTACTGTCATAGGTGAAACCAGGTATGTAATATTATAAGCAATAATGTGATTTTATCTTCATTAAAAACGTGTTCTGTTTCTTCTATGATTTACAAAAAGTGGAATATTTGTCAACTATGCAGTTAGTTTTTTGTTTCCTTTACAAATTATTTATTTGTTCGAATTTGAGGTCTTTTTTTTTCTCCAAAAAACATACATATTTACACTCACTCACCTGTAAAACTTTATTGTCCCCATCAATCTTACTTTCTAATGGTATCAACAGTTCTGTGTGAAATGTTTTGATCTGGAAAACATAATGGTATATCCAACTTCAAACAGAATAATGGGCTATCACCTATTCAAAATTCACCTGCAAAACGTTACTATTATCCTTAACCCTGTTGTTAACTTAAACTTTCTTCTTCATAATTTAATGACAAAATTAAATTATCCATATGGCATGTTGTTAAGTTAATATCATAACTATCAGTCATAAGTTAATACGATACGCAAGTGTTTTATGGCGCAGTTTCTTAGAACATAAAACACATGCAATTTAAAATCAAAGTGAATACAAAATAAGTAAAGTACCCTGAAGCAATGCAATTGCTGACCTTTGGAGTTATAAACCCAACACAGGGTTGAATCTTATCAAGTCCGGTTCCTTGTACAAACCAGAGTAAGACATGACATAGCATACTGTCTGATATGTACAATACTCTAAGTGAAGGTTTTTTTTTTGATAAAAAGGATACAATCACAACAAGTAAACTTGTCTCTGAATTATATCCAAACAAATGAAAACCATTACAGTTTGATATAGGATGAAGATGTTTGGGATTCCTTAAAAGTTGATTATTGTTTAATTTTACCCAATCAATTAATGGGCTTATACCTAAAAGTAACCTCTTACTTAAACAGCATATAATAAAACAAACAATACACAATACTTGCTGCCTCTGGTTGAACCCTCTATGTAAGTGATGTATATTGGGTATCTGCCCCCTCCCTCCACTCCAACACACACACACACACACACACACACACACACACACACACACACACACACACACACACACTGTACTCAATACATGATGTACATGGTTAAGTATAACTGCAGTGCTTTCACACAAAAGTTTCAGAGGTTACTCATTATTTAAAGGTTCTGGACAGGCAATGGCATGCTGATAACAGAGGTGAGTTTCCAGAGTAGCTTTGAAATTCAAGCTGATCACGCATAGCATGCGCTGAAAAAATGCCAACCTATGACATTATGTTTAGGTGCATGCAAGATTCTGGTCACAATAGCTGCAACAGCACTTCAACAATGAGATGCGAACTTTGTTTAGTCTAACAAGAATGTGTGCAATCTTGTTATTCTTTTTCTCCTTCTGTGCACTGTAAACTTTTAATTTTTAAACCAGGATGCAGATTTAGCCTTGGCAGAGCCACTGAGAAAAAAAATGATTGAAGAAAATGTTTTTTCCTTTTAAAGGCCAGATCTAAAAGGTAGTGTCAGGACAAAATTTGCAACATCCTGGCTACCATCTCTTTAAAGGAAAAATACTTAAAACTGTAACAGAATGTACAGCTTGGAAAATTAATGATGACAAAAAATTGTGATATAGGAGATTGGGGACAGGGGAGAAAAATATTATCTCTCTTCTGACAAGTCATATCAAGTGGAATCCACAATGATATGAGCCATCTTAAAATGATATTGTATCAGGTACCCTGCAGGGGTGTGTATCACGGTTAGTATACTCACATTTTCTTCCACATCTTTCTGAATTTCCCTGTGTGTGTTTGCTATCTCTGCTAAGGCTGTGCCTGAAACAACACAAAGAACTCATATATACAAGTGTTACTTTTAAGCAGCCATTTGTTTTTTTCTTTTTTTAAAGAAAAATGTATCAGAAATTCTAACTTATATTCCAAATGAAATAATGCACAAAGAAAACAAAGAGGCAGATTTTACTTTTTGATTTCATTTTTCTAGTTTCTACAATTAAACAATTGCAGAACACTGACTTCATCTATTCCCCACTATGTCCCCCCACCCCCAATCCCATATTAAATGATTTCACATTAATAAACATAAACAGTGTTCTTACTAAACAATACAGCTATAGTAATTCTCTATCTCAAAGGCAGTAATAATTCTACAGAGATATAAAACAGAACTGTTATGTATGGCATTTGCGGTGCAAGGGTACATTTAGATCTTATCTGCATATTCATAGCCCAGCCTGCTTGGTCAATAGACCTTCCCATGGGCCAGGTTCACATAAGAACTGTATAGAATGAAGACTTGTCTGAACTTTAACATTAAAAAAAATGTCTTTGTCTTCTATGACCTGAGATAAATCAGAGAAGAAGTCTTCTAATTAAGAAATATTGGACTTGTTTTATTATTCAATTTTTAATGCCCAATATTTCAGACCAACAGTTGCTTTACTTAGTGAGCTACAGTGGGTTTATTCTGTATGAAGTCTGCAAACCACAAAATAAACTTGTCTTAGATAAAATCAAAACTAACCATTTCAAGTCATTTTGTGATACCTAACACATGACTACTTATTGAAATATTTAACCATAGAAAAAAAAAACTCGCAATTAAAATCTCTATAGATAATTTTAATTTCGAACAAATGAAAATAAGACGGACTGTCAACAGTTACATTGGGTAGATATCAAAGTGACACAATTAAGTTTGTTGATAAAACACATCATTTAATGTTTATTAAGGACCTATTTAATCATTTATAAACAGTATTGTGCTCCAATCCTAAATGAATGCCAACAGAGGAATCTTAAATGAAATATGGTCCATAAACAGACATACACACAACAATGTAAAAACATTGGAGCTAAGACTTATACAGCAGTGTAAGTTTAGTTAGATTGGTTTCAATTAGCTCAAGTTCAAGATGAATCATTTTTTTTTTTCTTTTATCATTTATCAGTTTCATTTCAATTAAACCAATTTTTCTGCTTTTGTTATTTTTCTACAATAAGGCTTTTGTCCATTTCTCTCTTCCATGTTCCTTTCTCTGTCATAATTTCAATGCCTTTTATATTTATGAGATATAAAATGTTTGTGATCTGCTCAAGAAAGTGTGATCTCTGCAATATACTGAAAGGTCTTGCTATTGACTTCCCATTAATTCTCATGAGAAAATGGTCCATAGCCACTCCACAGCCAGTGTGTTCATCACACAAAATACCAAACAGCTTGACAACCTCTTGGAGAACCAGGTCCTTACCTCAAAACATTGAGATATTTATATATTTGTATTCAACACCAGGTCAGGATCTTTAATTTAGGCATTACAGGTGGGGCACAAACATTACAGCAGTGTTTGGTACAGTTTCACACAACCACTTAACTTATCAAGACTGAAAAACTAATGTCAAGGAGCCCACGGCTACAGAAAGGCAATAAGTAAACAACAATTTAGATATTATCAATGGCCGAATGATGCAAAATGTCTGTGTTAAGGGGAATAAATCAGATAAAAAGATCATTAAACTATGCTCTTCATCATCACAAGCTCACTGAGGAATGCACTCTATTCATATTATATCAGTATTTTCTCTTAAAGAAAGAGATCTGGATAAATGCCTATTTACGGTAAAGTTTATTAAAACAGGATTACCGTTAGCCTTGGTAACCAGAGATCAAGGCATAAATCATTTGAATAAAGCGCATACCAAGTTATTTTTAATACATATTAATTATTTCTTGGTTTGACTTGCATTTATCTCTCAAAAATGACTTTGCATATTTGAAGACTTTAACAACTCCCCAGAAATTTTCAAGAAAATAGCTAATCTTTATTGGGGCAATGCATTCTTCAAACCAAACATGTGCAACTTTTGAAATAACACCCTCATAGATGTCTAAATAATGACATAGGATGGAAGAAATGTATATTTAGTTTTGAATTTCTATACCAATTAAACCTATAGGAAGTCAGGTACTTCTCCTGTTGGAAAAATTCTGCTTCCACTTGTCATCAAATCTGTGCACTTTTCTACCCACCCGTTATATTCCGCCCATTATCTTTAAATGAGAGTTTAAAACATATCATAAAACAAAACAGGAGTTGTCATGCCAGAAGTAGTTATGATGTGTGTATAGATACCATTATCTATGTTATGGGAACTCAAATCATGAACCCTACTTGTGCAAGGGGGAAGTACCCTTGTAAGTAAATAAATAAATATAAAGTTGGTCTTATCTGGGGCTTTTTTCCTCGTTCTATACGAAGTAGCACAAGTTAAAGGCTTGCTGTGAGTAAATCATTAATCCCATCTTTTACGCTGCATTTTCAACATTTATACTGGGAGTTGGTGTGTATATCTGTCTAGATCACTCTATATCTAGATTTGCACTGTCATTATGAATATGACAATAACATTATGACAAAGATGACAAAGTCAAGAAATCTATCAAGGGAAATGTGTGTGTGTGTGTGTGTGTATGTGCATGTGTGTGTAATGTTATCACACAAACCTATAGTTTATATTTATCCAAGCCCACTGCCTTGTAAAGGTCAATACAGGTAGATATAAAATGATGTCTGGTGATGGTAAGTTACTCTAACCTGTTGCACACCTTACACTCATAAGGAAGTGGAAATTAAGCTACTGCTCATTCTTTAGTCACAGTTATAAATCTTGTATGATCCCACACATACAAGGGAACTCCACTGACCACAAGTTATATCTTTCAAATTCCAACCACAAAAAGGTATTTAATGAGAGCTCTAGGGCTATTTATCCTTCAGTGCATTTATTTGTTTCCGTTTTGTTCCTGATAATGTTTCTTTATGTAGGGAAATCTTTTTAAATCTAGATGTAACTTTACTTGAGTGATACAAACATGGCAAAATATATTAACAAAAGGGGACGATATAATATACATTGGCTCAAAAATCTGTTCAATGTATGGGCTTGTAAACAAAATGACTTTGTTTTATGTTTCTAAATTTTTCATTGAAATGTTCTGAATTATTTAGAACTTACTGTTGCATGACTGACATATCAAGAGTCAACTTATCTTCCTGAAGTATGATAGCCCATATGTGTATTATATAAAAATATAACAATATACAAAATTCTCATTCAATTTTTCTAATCTCATTATTTTTAAAAATCCTATTAGTTTCTCATGCTTTCAAACCTGCATGCTTATAAAACAGTACAATATTTTTATATATAATTTGTGTTTTTAATTTTCAAAGAATACATCCATGTCTTGGTTTATCTAATGTTTTTAAAGGCAAAAAAATCTGATATCATTAAAGTTATAATTGTAATAATAATTGAGTTACATAACAATGTTCTCATTCCCTTTCTAATTAATATGTAAACATTAAAAATGCATCACTTCATGATCTTGTAGACAGCATTACATATATATATATGTAACTATAATTTTAGTTGGGGTGTAATACATTGTTTTGACCTGCTAGAGAGCAAATGATTCAGAAATAATCAACCCTAAGCCATTTATTTTACACTCACAGATAATATCAGTACCCACAGTCATACCTTTGGACGTCAAGTATAGGATTAAAATGTACAGGTAAAGTGGATAAGCATTACGATTAGTTTACTTAGGGAGGGATGTAAACAATGGTCCTAATTTCAGACACAATGCCCAATAGCGGCAAGCTTCGACATGTTTTACAAGCTGTTTAAGCTCTGTAGATATTCGGTGGTTGAACCAAATGAGAAGAAAGGAACTCTTTTAATGGATTCTCAATTAGTGTGCTTACTTTTTCAGAAAAAACATATATGAACATATATTGTCAAGGCTTAATTCTGAACTGTTAAACAGCTGAGTTGAAGCCTACCAATTTTATATATATATATATATATATATTGTTCAACCTGACATTTTATCACAGTTGTATCTTATCTTAATGCAGACACATGCCCTCTTCACATTTGTGATTCAGTGATTCACAAGTTAATCATAGCACCAACCCACCCAACAATAACACCACCACTGAAGAAACAATGCCTTATTATTCAACCCTACGTTTCCGAAGTTTATTTATAAAAGATTTAAGCAGACGGCAGTGTCAGTCTGCATAAGAAGTTTATATGAACTGTCTATATATCAAAGATTCAAATACTAGGCTATGTATGAACTAATTTTAAGCATAATTTGTTGATAAAAGATTTAAATCTTAATCTGAGATGGATTTGCAGTAAAGCTTTTTTTATGGTATAATTAATCATCGTACCTATGTCTCCGACTGCTCCTATTTGGTTGTTTGCTCCTTGAGCCACCTTAGTGATTGCATCGAAATATGCCTTTGCTGTCTGAGACACACCTGTAAAAACAACACAAAGATTCATTCATTTCTTTACAGCACTGATGAAGATAAATAACAATTAATGAGACTTGTGTCAAGAGAAACTTGAAGGTAAACAGAGCAGTTCAACATATTAATATCTAATTAAGCGAAAGTATGAAAGGCAGTGACTTATCTTAACTGATAGCCTAAAGAACCTCAGACTTAAAGTAACCTTAAGGTTTGGATCAAAATTTGGGTTGAATGTCCCTATTAGCCACTGTACAAAGGTTATTACTGGTCGTATTGACAATTATTTTTTGTTACATTACAAGCAGGACATATAATTTTCTTGGACCACTTTTGATTTATATGAGGGCAAGGTTGACTAAAATTTGGGTATGAAAATTTTGGTTCATTTTCAAACTATAGTTCTCACATGAAACAGGCCCTAGCTCCTAGAACCAGATGAAAACAGAGCATAATCAAATAAACACATCAATATTTCTAATTGTAAGGATATTATACTGCTGTGTAAGAGTTTTAGCTCACCATGGAGTGCCTTCTGGTATGCTCTCCCTGCAGTGATAAGCTGCCTGACAGATGGGTGGTAGTTTTCCAATAAATTCTGTAACACAAAATCAATGACCCATGAGGGTTAGAACAGAAATCATTTGAAGGTGGCTGTCAAGCTTTATGAATTTTCAGAATGAATTTGATGTCGAGTAAAAATCTTGAATTTGACGTCATTAATAAATTCTCTGAAATTAATTTAAAAAAAAATCAACAGTGACTTTGAATAAAATATATGTATGCTTGTGCCACTTAACACAACAGAAATAATAATTACAGATTACATTTGATTACATTTATGCTGTAACTCATATCTCCAACGGCTTCTCCCAGAAAATAAATAAAAGACCGAAAAATTACTTATAATTATAAATGTTAAATTGTTTAAGCGCAACAAACTCTAAAATTTCTATTACGGGAAATAAATAATCAGATTATAAATGTTTGCCAACAAAATGACTAGAATATAAAACAACGCTTGTTTAGCACAGTATCTGGACGTCTAACATTCAAGATTTTATCTCAGGACACAAGAGACAACTTCGTTCATCACACAGCCGCGGGTAATTTTCCTCCTCATAATTGCTCACGCTTCCGATAAAACATCCAACCACGGTATTTATAAACATATGATATCTCACCTTATAAATTGCCTCCGTCCTCCTGCTTAATTCTATACTTTCCAACATTTCGACTATGTGTTTTGTGCCTTCTGTGGGTCGTCTTCACAAATTTAAAACGGAGTCTACGCTTGAGTCATACCGCATCGTCTGTTCACAGCCGAGTGTGATTTGCGTATAGGTCAGAGGTCACATCCTCTTTGTGCCTCCGTATGCAAAAGATTTCAGCTAAAGACTAGATTAAGTCATGTAATTAATTAATATTATGAGTAAAATGAGAAACGTTACGTCTTCTTATCTCATAATTTGGTATAGGTATGAATATTTTGTACCAAAATTGAAATTTTGTCAAATTTGCTGCTTTTTGTGTTTCTAGATCTTAAACTCGTGCACCTCGAACTAAACTATTCCGTTAGGTGAGCCAAGGAGCTTTTTCTCTTATAACTCCTTGGGTGAGCTTGCAGCTCAGCCGTATTCAGCGCAATCTAGTGACGCCGTAACGGGGTACTCAGATATCAAAATCAAATGATTCAGGGCCATGATTTTCTTTTGCCGTTTGTAGACCTCTACGCAAAAAAAAAAAAAAAAAAAAAAAAAAAAAAAAAAAAAAAAAAAAAAAAAAATAATAATAATAATAATATAATAAATTAAATAAAAATAATAATAAAATAAAATAAAAAAATCCATCTACACTTTCAGACCAATTTTTATAGTGCAGTAAAAGTTGCTTGGATAACAAGAGACCACTAAAAATCTCATATGCAAATCACAACTTTATAACGGTTTTAGTCTTGTGAGTTATTCTTTTGGAAGAAATATAAAATATCTAAAAGGAGACAAAAATAGTTTTTCTGATCATTTTATTATTTTTCCCTAATTTTAAAACAAGTATGTTACGTTACATTTAGGTAACTTTTGGATTACCAAAGAAGTTTACAACTTGCTAAATAATAAAAAAGATACAATATGCACAAGGGGTGAGAGGAAGCCTTCACACATAACTTGGCTTTCTGTACAATTCCTTTTTAATTAAATTGTTGTAGTCAAAGATGGCAAAATACATTTCCTGTAACAGATAACAGAGATGTTAAGAAAGCAAAATGTTAAATAGATTGGAAATAAAATGTCAAAAAGGCCATTTTCTGCCCAGGAACAAAAGTTTGTAGATCCACACGGATTTGTCTATCACATCAATTGCATGCATATCATTTTTATAGTGATCTGCAGTTGCAACATAAGAAAGCAACAGCAAGATAATTTGGGGCACACTTTGAAACTCGTGTCCAAAGCAATAACCTGAATTACACTATAAAAATAAGAAATTACTTTCACTGGTATTCATTCATAAGTTTAGTTACACTACTTATGGTATTGTGTTGTTAAATTGTTTGTAATAATGTCAGTTCTCCCAATAAACAATTTTTTGATAATTTGAATATTGCCAAAAACATCTTTGCCCAGTGTACGCAATAAAAAATGCTACCAGAAATGCCTCAGAATTCAGGTAAAGAGGACACCTGCAAGTACAAGAATGTATTGCTTTCTTGGGTAGCATATCAGCAGTTGTGTTCAGTTGAAGCTGGGAAATGAGCTGTATGCTTAGCCCATGGCTTAAAATAAGCCTGACACTTATATGACACTGCCTCAGGCTATATAATGCTGCCAAATTTTAATGAAAAAGAAATAATAAAACGGTGGACACAAAATGCCGAACTAGGTTTCCAACTCAACATTTGCAAGATGTACAGGGCCTTTGAATGCCTGTGTAAACTTTTTTCTGCACTGTTCCATTTCAACCTTGGGATAGCATAGCCTACAGATTCCTCCTTAGAATTTTTCATCAGTTCTCCTTGTCTGTGATAAACTTCTATCAGGTTGTCACAGATTCAACATTCTTACTAGTGCAGAAGGCATTCAACCGGGATAATAAAGAAGGGAGGGATAGAAGTATGCAAATTCTTCTAATTGTGAATTTTAATGGCTTTCTCCAAGTAATAATTCCTAGATCTTTTTGGCGTTTTATTTACATGATCCAATCCCAACCATGGTCTTGCCTGCATACCACCTCCTGCAACAGTTATACACATTTGATCAAACTCATACTGAATATTTCAACCTCTGATTATTAATTTTAAAAGTTATGTGGATTTTGAATTGCTCTTCTAAATTTCAAATTAATGCTCAAAAAATCATTTACTAAAACCTTTTATTCATTTACATATTTTATCATTTATTTATTTATTCATTTACTTGCTAATTTATTTATTTGTTTGTTTATTTCATATTGTTTAGGAAAAGCACCAGCATGGGGGTTTGTTGGCCAATTTATCTTTAAAGTTCTTTATCATTTTCTGCTGAGACCAAGTTCTTTATCATATTCTGCTTACCTTGAACTGTCTGGGGCAGGAAGTCATCCAGATTTACAATGTACTCCTTGTCTTCTGGGATATAAGTTACACGACCCATCACTATCACAGCAAACTTGAACTGAAATGCAAGGCCAACATGTTCAGAATTGAGAATAGTGACAGTCTGTGCTGCATAATTTTCAGCATACTAGTTATTTGCACTACTTATCCAAAGATGAAATGTATAGACAGTGGAAAAATGACGTAACACTGAAATTTCCACTGGTGCTTTTCATATATGAAGAGTTAAAATGGTCAGGACCACAGGTATAAAAAAAGCAATTCTTGATCCAGACTTAATTAAAATTGGTTAAACATTCTTGGTTACTGTTTCTAAATAAAATCTATCTCATTATTTTATTAATAAAATTCTACTTACCTTTTCATATTCTTTGTCTGGGACCTCAAGTCGCTTTTGTAGTCTTTCTTTTACCTTCGAAAATGCTTCCCCCTGAAAGTCAAATATATATTTCTTACAGGAAATGATCATTCACACTGTGATAGACATGTTAGTTTTAACACACTATTTACTTACAACTTTTTACAGGCAGTGACAACATGAATGTCAGTATCTTTTTATATATGCATCTAATCCTTGCAAGGCAATTATTGTTTGTATTAATAGGTTAGTCTCTGTCAAATAGAAAAGAGTATCTAATCATTATTCAAATTATAAGATCATTAAAACTTACTTGTTTCATTTTTAACAGAAAGGGAACCCCAAATGTTGAAAACACTTCCTGTAAAAGAGAGGATGACACAATCATGTCCACAAACAACTTAACGCATTTTTCTTTCATATTTTTCATCATTATTTTTGTAACAATCTCATTAAGAAGTAGACAAACACATTTTTCTTTCATATTTTTCATCATTATTTTTGTAACAATCTCATTAAGAAGTAGACAAAGGATCAACGTAATGGACAATATGTCTTTCATTAGCAGAGTCATCTCTCCCCCCTCCTTTTAATACTGATGTCCAATTACACCATTTCAGTTAACTAAAAAAATTACTTTTAAAGTCTACTTAACCAGGCTCGTTTTTTTGTACTATCAACTTACCTTGCTTTTATAAATAATGACAACGATGCCATAAACATACTATGAGTGTACATACCATGTACATTGCCTCTCAAATCAGCTGATTTTCTAAATAATAAAAATTACATAATAATGATATAAAAAAAAAAAACTTACTTTGTGAAAATGTGCTACTGGGACAAGCACTTCATCACTGCCGATATGCAATTCTTCCACTGGAATCTCTTCTATTCTGTACGACTTGGTATTACCAACATTCAGACATTCTAATAGAGCATCCTCAGGTAATATAGATAAAATTTTATAGCTTATGACCTCAAGAAGCCTGAAACATTAGAATAAAAACAAAGACCTTAAATTAATAGATACTAAAGAAACTGCAGCAACTTGACAATTAATAGTAGATTAAAATACAAAAATACAATTGTATCCTCAAGTAGCCCGAAAACTTAAAATTAAAGAATGGAATAATTCAGGAATAACTTTGTCTCTACATGCCACCAAAAATACATTCATGCACAGAAGAAACTTAACTGTAGGCAAATATACCACTAAAGCAGTGATAAGTAGCTAGGTACATTTGTAAATATCTATACATTGATGATATACCATCTACACTCTAGACTGTAGTCAGGGCTTCGTTTCTTCTTTCCATACATGCATGTCTCTTTGCGACTTAGAATGGTATTCTACAAAAAATTTCTGAAATTTTATTGGAAAACAGCCATGTTTACTTTACCTCAGCTTCCCAGATCCATTTTCTGAGAGTTCTATTTGCTGGGTGGCCTCTTTAAGTAAATCTGTCACACACCCACTTTTGTCTGGGTATAAGACTAGTTCCTTCTGGAAAATGAAGAGTGTATGTCATGGATGGATGCATACACCAACAGTTATTTTCTAAATACAGACAAACATACTTGTCAAGGAAAATATAGTAATAATTCAGTAATATCTGTAACATATTTATCAAAGAAAAATTTGATTTGAAGAACTTACATATAACTTAACTACAAATAAAATGTTTATACATATTTCAGTGATATCAAATTTTACCTCCTCTTTGAGCTTGTGGTTTACCCAGACACATTTGAACTGCCTTTTGTTTTCTAGTTCATTGATTTTAATGCTGAGCTGTAAGTGAAAAAATATATGATTTACATAAATTATAAACCTATAAGGTATTCTCAGAAATACTGGCAACATTCTCTCCAAAAGACCAGCATTGAGGGAGGGAGGTCATTGCACACCAGCAGCTACACTTAACCCAATGCAATAATACACTTAAGTTTTCCCTTCTTAGGGACAGTAATGCTTTCTCGCAGCCTCCACTCAAAGCCTTGCAAAAGATCCTACCTGTTGATAGTAAAGCTTTCTGACTGTTCTTGGCTTATAGACTAGCAAAAGATCTTTGAGACATCCCTCAAAAGTACATCTCACAGGGTTTCCAGCACCATCTCTATAGCTAAAAACAAATAAATAACATTAATTTTATATTCGGTCACAGATTCTCAATTTAAATGGAAATTAATGCTAGAATACACATTTCCTGACATATAATTATTGAACAGGCTTCCAACTCCAAAATTATGTATCTGCTTGTCTTTTAATTTATCTATATTAATATTTTTGCTTGTTCATTAATTTATTCATTTTTTTAATATTTAAAATTCACTTTTCAAAATTCTACCAATAACAGAACTAACCCTTGTGGTTTGAAAAACTGCAACAAGTATGGATCAGTCTCCAAATGATGTGCAACTGCATGAGCTATTTGGTCATAGTTCATCCTCAATGAGAGTTCAAGTGTAAAGCCAGGATCACTGGGAATGTTCTTATCACAGAAAGTGACATCAATTCTATAGTAAAGATCCCTACAAGAAAACAAATGTAGAAAATAACTGTGGCTTTTTTTAAACACTTATCATGGAAAGTGACATCAGGAGTTTAGTGAAGGTCCCTTAAATTAAAAAAAGTTAGAATATAAATGGTATCCAAGAAAGTGACATCAATTCTATCAAAAAAATTCTGCAAAACAAACTGTTGAATAAAAATGAAAACAAACGGAAGAATATTCATAAGACTTTTCAAATACTTAAAACTATATTTTGGTTTCAGAATATGTTAGCTCCAATTTCATAATGTTATAAACATTTAATGCCCTTGCAGCAGACAGCCATGGGAACTTACTTGAAGTAATCCTTTGCTGTAGGCAGGTCATAATGTTCAGGATATGGCTCTTCTTTTTGAAAGATGATAATATCCCCATCCATAAGCTCTTCTAATGCTTTTTCTAGGGGCAAATTGACATCTTCTATCCTCTCCACTAGGTTTGGTTTGACTTCCTGTAGCATTATCAAAGACAGTATTCAGAACAGTGGACTAACAGATCCACAGATCAAATATGGTGACCCACTAAAAAGCTTGTGGACTTTATTTCTGATTAAACACAGAGTACATTCCCTGTGGGGATTACGCAGCAAGCATTCAAGTGGGTTGGCCATATTTGATCTGCAGATATATTAGTCTGCTGTTCTGTATGCCCACAAAGGCAATCACTTTGAGAGTTGAACATGTGCTCATTACAGAGACAATTTGCAAAAGCCACATAAGATAAAAGTAAAAAAATGGAAATAATATTGTAAAAATTCTCAGACACCAAGCTGATATATACAACACAAAATTCTTAAAATAAATTTCTTGACTTAAAATATCTGTCCAAAGATAACTGCTTTGGCTACAACTATGATGGCTGTGGCCTGTCACCAGATGACTCACCTGAGCGATGACCATCATAAAGACTGTATGTCCAGAAATAGATTGAATTTCATAAAAATTTCTATTTGAATACTCAGCAATCTTACACAAATACCAATACATGTTAAAAAATACATTACCTCATAGAGGATCAGGTTGGTGCCTGGTGGGAAATTCCCTCGACTGCACAGATTGGGGAGGATATTACCTTGAATGAATTTAAACATGATGTAGATTTTTTTAATCTAATTTTTTTAAAAATCTAACTTATTTCAGTCTTACTCTGTGTAGCAGATCAAAAACAACTTTTCACTAATATATATCCTAATGACAAGCTTGGAAACATTCTTTCTCATGATGAAAGTAAGGCTATTCATCCCATCATTTATAAAATAATAAACCACAATAAAACATTAAATTAATTGACTCATGTAAAAGAAAGCATGGCTTACTAAGTTTTTCTGTAATTGACATATAGTGGTGTCCACAAAAGGAAATGCTTTTTGTCCTAGGATCATATCTTTTGAAGAAAAGGAGGACATCAGCTGAGAAAGAAAAAATAATAAGGAAATCAATTAAGTAATATATTTTCAAAATACTGCATAATCCTATTTAACTATAATGCACATCAATAAAATACACAGTTAAGATGTTCTATAACTAACAATCTATCTATCTATATTCTTCAAGTGTCAGGTTTGGTGCAGGCATTGGTTTACTCTATCATCTATATATCTATATATACATATTTTTCTTTGCACTATACATTAAAAAAATAATATTCATTTATTATGCTATAAGAAACAGTACATTTATCTCTGAATATTAAATACAATGGTCATTTTTTTATAAATTGAAAATATGCATTTTGCCTATGCATCCAGATTTTGTAACCACATAACCACACTCACATTCTTTGTCAAACTGGGGCAACTTGTCCTGATTGCTCTCTGGACTCAGAGTTTCTACAAACACTGTCCAAGGGCCTTCACCCTCAGCTAGTTCTAGGACCTGAAATAGAAAGGATTAAAATTATTTTTTAAAATGTCTATGCTAGCTCCGAAAAATAGTAATTAAAAGTAATTAAAAGATTACTGGTAAATAAGGCAGATAAAACAATAACTTACAAAGAGAGCAATGGAAAAGTTGAACTCACATTTTTGTTGATATCAGCCTCCACATCTAATACTGTGGGTCTGAATGTTTGGTTTGTTCTGTGAGCAAATGGCCATGGCCTCAGCTGCTGGATGGGATATTTCTACAATGATGAATATATGAAATGTTAATATCATGTTTTCCCGTTGTATGCTTGTATATATTTCTTGTATACAAATATTTGTGTCATTTTATTACATCTGCCAAAGAGGTTATAATTTTGCCTTTGTTGGTTTATGGGCTAACAGCCCAATTTAGATTTTTTGGGATAGATTAGAAATTGATGTACTTAGAACCAATTAGATTTTACCAGACTGTACTACTTTTACATCACTTACCAAATTCTCTGACAGAATTTCCATCAACTCCATTAATGTAGCAGTCTTCTTTACTTTGAAATTTCTGAAATAAGACCACAATCATCAACACATGTAAATTGATAAATGATCTAAAATATATATATCTAATATCTAGGAAATGGCAGGTTTTGTAAAAATCAATATTAAATATTAATATTCTGTCAGCTATTTCACTTAGAAAATAAAGAAAATGCTGACCTGAAGTTGATTTTTTCAATATCAAAGAGATCATTTCCTTGGTGTCCAGAAAAGTCATCTTCAGTGACAACTTGTACATTCATGTACAGATGAGCTTCTGTCCTCTCTTTTCTTTTCTGTGCTTCAATTCTCCTACAAAGGTTAACAGTCAGCATATGTCCACAAAAATTCTTTGAACCTTCCTATTCTAAAAGCTTCTATGTGAAACTTATATATCTTTAATTTTCTTTCTTTCTTTAATTTTCTTTTAAAAATCAATATACGAACCATCAAGGGCAAGTTTACACTTTTAGAAAAGATTATTTCTGACAGCAATCAGGACAGTGAAGGTATCAACTTACTTTTCCTCTTGGAGTCTTTCTATGAGTGAATCTGGTATATGTCGTTCATCTACTGGTTGTAGTAAATCCTCTGCAATAAAAACATTACATACGCATATGAAAGAAAAACAACTTTATTATATTATGACGCAGGTGATGCCTATATGTACAGACACATCTGTGTCTGTACATAAAAAACATCTTTATTACCATTAAATTTTGTTTCAATTCATCAAAAAGTAGTTACCATTTTTACATCCAAAAGATGCATAGCATCTTTACACTGGCATTTTGTTCAAAGATATATATACGCACGCACGCATGCACATGCACACACACACAACTGCAGTAACATGGAATATATGAGAGAAAATATCTTCCATATATTATCTACATATATTTTCTTCTTTTATTCAATGCAAACTTCAGTATTTTAATTCATATATTTTTCATGTTATTTCATTTACTGGTCTCTGGCATCTGCTCATTATATCAAACCTCTACCATCCCTGACTATCTACTACAGAGAAAAGCACTCCACCAAAAAGGAGACCAGTTATGATTTAATTGTAAAATAAATGTAAAACTGAGATTTATTATCTAATTTGGTAAAACAACTTTCCTCAATTCCTTACCTTTCATACTTTCCCTGATATAGACTAACATGTATGCATTTGTGCAGTGCTTGACAGTGAGATCATCGTCATGACCACCAAAGTTGTGATCTATGGCCTCCTGCTTTGTGCACCGACACACTACATCATCATCAAACTTACACCACTGAAATAAATATGAATGACTTCGTAATCCATATAATTTTATATACCAGACATACAACATCTAAATTTCAACAAAACACTTTCACTTTGTTAACTTCTGCACTGTTCATATGTCATTTGCAAGTCATCATATATAATGTATTTCATTCAAATATATATCAGACAGAGAAAGGTACTTGTGCCATAACCCTGTCATATGACATTTGGTTTTCATTTAAAGCTTGAAAGCAGCTACGCAAGACTGCAACCCGAAGCACTTGCATCCAAACACTGAGAACATTTGTAACTCTCTCTCTCACACACGCACGCACGCACACTCTTGAGTCTTAAGGGGTTATGCACAGTTTTGTCACCCCTGCATCTGACTCGTATATCAGACACTTGTTAAACTCCCTTTTCCATTGATGTATACAAGGTAATGATGCCAGGCACAAGTTCACTCACCTTTCCATCACCTTTGGGATTGATATAAACAACGTAATGACCGCCATGGTTGTCTCCACTGTGGACTAGAACAGCATGAAGGAGATAATCAGATGGAATCTTTTCTGGGGATTTCAGAAACTGATCAAGATGCAGTTTCTCTGGAAATTCAAATCTGAAACAGCAAAGTAAAAGTGGGTGTCAGTACTAAGTTAACTCTTGCCCAACAAACTGTCGCACTTAATTCTTATCTCCTCTACTACATATGAGAATCATCAATGATATCAATGACAAACACAAATAATGACTGAAATTTGACCTTTTGAAGTTTCCTTTCAACATGTTTCTATAGCAAGAAGCCTACATATTGTGATACTGCTAAAATGCTATTTCATAAGAGTATCCATGTACACAATGGATGTTTCTTCTTTTCTAATTACCTGTCATTGATTTTTATATTTGTGTCTGTAATAGGATCATACTGAAATCTCATCAGCTGTAAATGCAGCACTGGTGGAAAGGACAGAAATATAACTCCCTTTTCTGCTTCCTGGAAAAGCAATAAGACTGCTGATAACACAAACATTCATGTGTCAATGCAACACAAAGAGGCTTCATTCATGATCAGTTTTACAAAACAGCATTAGTCGAGTTTTGTATTCAACTCCTCAAACAATTTGCTGTTTGCAGATATCAGATATATGCCTATGACATACAAAACGTTACATCATAATAATGATCGAGCACCACATTGGATGACTATATAGTGCAAATAACACCAACAAGATAAAATATGTATGATAAAAACTACATTTTGCCTTGAATTTTTCAAACATAATGCAATCGTCCAGAACTTACTAACAAAACATTTCTCATCAAAATTCAACAAACATTCAGAAAACATGACCAAAGTTATAAAGAAGTGACAGTACCTGCAACCCATGCTCTCCTGCATCATACTTGTTGTCACCATCTAAGGTCTCTACTGTGATGTAGTCTTTAAATGATTCATAAACTGAAAAAAAAATATATAAATAAATAAAACATTTAAAACTGCTAAATCTGGTCATAATAAAGAAATTAGCACTTACATCTTTGGCAAACTGATAATTATTTCCCTTTCTTCTCATATTTTGGTAAAGGCAATATATTTTAATTTTCTTCTAGGATTTTAGGTAAAATCACACAGACCTATTTCAATAACATTTTTGGTACAGTTCTTTCATCCAACTTTCTAACAAGAAAATGTATGTACATTTTAAGTACTGCAATTTTATGTGTAAAAAGTGAGTATACTTACTCGTCTTCTTTCCTTTGACATTAAGTTGAATATCATAGAATGGTTCTGTTCTGGAGGACACATAATCTACATGTTTGCACTTCACATAGGACTATGAAATAAAAAAAAAAGGGTAACATATTAAGCTGGTAAGAAATAGGCTTCGACCAGCCACCCTTGCTTTTATCATAATTATTAACCAACAAAATATCAACACTTTTTAAAAACATTCCTGCGATTGAACACAAACATTTTGTACAATTTGACATCACCTCAAATTCTCAATGCAAGTGGTTTTCTTTTAAAATATTAGAGATGTAAAATGAAACACAACAGTCCAAAATGTTTTTTGTGATGTTGTGGAATCATTCATATTAAGAGTGTGGGTAGCATACAGTGCCAAGTGAAGACATTCATATGTGCACTTTATCAAAGGGTCAATTGGGGTTTTGCCTACGATAAAGTGTCATCAAGCTAAAAGTCCCTTACTTACCAGCATCTTGCCTTCAAACAACTGTGGGATTGTCCCTTCTACATCCTTCATCCCTTTCATCTTACTTTCTATGTTATCTAGTAGCTATAGCATTAAAAATATGCATGGGTAATTACGAAATCAACACGTCTCAAAGCCTGTCATCAAATATGAAATTTTATAGGAATGCCTGATAATGAATATATAACTTCCTGAAACATCTTACACTGCTTTCCAATTCAAAAATTTAATGAGGTGGTTTTAATGCAATTCTATGACACCACAGTCTACATTTTCATTTCAAAACTTGCCTGGTATAAAATATCAACTTGACCAACATTTTTCATATTCATCGGATGTCTGTAAATTAATGACAGTTTACATGGAGTACTTACCACCCTGCATAGTTCCTGCACATCATGTTGCATAAATGAGTCTAATGTTTCCCAGCTGTAACATCAACATAAAAATAAATCATAATTTTACATTGAACAAGCCTTGTAAGATACCCCCCAAAACGTGTAATTTTATTTCTTATGTATTTTGCATAACCCTATGCCATATTACAATATACTCATTTAAAAAGATTTAATAAAATTTTCAGAACTACTAACTGTGATGTGTCTGCATGCTACCACAGTGAAGTAAAATATGAAAGTGTCAAATTCCATTCAACCTATATTTAAAAGGATGCCAAGAAAATCATGCATACATGACTTTTATTCATAATGATCAACAAAAAACATTTCTAAGAAAGTTGTTTTAACATAACACATTAAAAAGTGAGGGGGGAATTGAGAGACACTCACCCAAAGGATTTTGTTAGCTTTTTAGTTCCAACAGGTTTGTCACTAAATTGAAGTTCATTAAAGACTCGCTGAAGAGCAAGCCCAACACTTCGTGATGAGTCATCATTTTCAGTAGGCATTTGGTACACGGCCTAAAAATAATCAAGGATGTCATCACAAGAACTGTGCGATATGAATTCTGATAAAGGTATTATATTTAAGAAAGAATTTGCTATGATAAATGAAAAATGCTTGGTCATTCTGTCAATTGCATTTAATGACACTATTTAAACACTTCAACCCTTGTGATATAAACACATTTAAAACCGACTTCCTTTTATGTGGTTTAATTTTCAGTAAAGATATTTTCTCTTTCACTTACATTACAAAGCTTGCTTTGAAAACAGGATTTACAACCCTTCACATTTACCTTTCTCAATTTGTTTGTGAAATACATTGTCTGGAGAAGTGAGTTCATGTAACAAGTAGCACCCTGGTTCTTCAAGCCCACATAACCTGTATGCTTCCTGGAATCCCAACTGAAAACCAAAAAATACTTTCCTTAATATCACCTTGTACCTGTCTAACCAGACACTACATATACCAAAAACCTATATTATTGCATTGTATCATATTATATCATATTATATTAAAGTTATATTTTATTATAGAATATATGAGCAACATTTGCTCCTTGGGTCTGCATTTGGCCATATTGGCCTTTCGGTGTTCACCATTTGTTCATTAACAGCATGTTTGTGGTAAAGCTACATTTAAATGAAAAGAGACACTCGTATAAATGAAATAACTCGCATAACAAGAAAACAATTTACCTCATTCCATGTGGAGCATCGGCAAATACATAAACTTCTAGTTGGATGGCATCATCTTTTACATATCCTTTCTCAGGATCAAGAAGATCCTTAACAATGAAAATAATACATGAAAATCAATGCCACAAGCTCATAGTATCATATCAAAGATAAAAAAATGCCTGTATGAGAAAACATGATACATGTATGAGATCATGTCAAACTAAAATTTCTAATGATGAATTATTTAAATAGTCAGCTTTGATAATTATTTTCCATTAGACTTAAGTTTAAACATACCTGCCAAGACATAAAATGGCTAAATCCCCAATCATTTTCCTTACTAAAAAACAGGTGTTGAATTTCTAGAAAAAAAAAACCAACAATATGTTTAAGAGAGCTAGATCAACAACAAATACATTGACATCCAACAAACCAGTGTGATGTTTTCTTTTTTTTTTTAATTTGCTGTCTTTACTTTTTTCTTTTGATTGTCACTGTTTTGAAAATTCTTATTACTGAGGTTTAAAAAGAATGTGCCAATTAGAATTTCTATTGCTGTTATTATTATTATTATTATTATTATTATTATTATTATTATTATTATTATTATTAAACAGTGTCTTTCTTAAGAATATTGAAAATAGAACTAAAACATACTTCTAGAGAAATCTTCACCACCAGACTTTTGATTCTTTATTTTCAGCTCTGCTGCAGCATTACATGACCATGACCTGACAAAATGAGAATATGTTTAAGTCTTAAATCTTTAAAATAATTATAATATTGTTCTAGGGAAACATGCACTGTAAAACAAGCAGGGAGCAGAATGAACTAAAACTTCATTAAACATCATCATCATAGAACAAAATACCATTTTCTTAAAAATCTAAGCAGAAATAAGCAAAGTGAATAGAAGTACCTGCACAAAGGCCCAAATAGGAACAGCTAATTCTAATGTCTGCTACTAGAAAAACTATTTTTAAATAGCTGACGATAAGGATGAAGAGCTTTTGTGTATGTCCGCTATATGACCCCGATTTGAAGAGATAATTTCATTCATCAGCATTAAACTAATCCTTAATCCAATATCCCACTTACGAGGATTCACACTCTCCATTGCACTGTAAAAAGAAACCAAGACTCTTCTGAGACTTCTCTGCATGCTGACTAAACCTTGGCATCACCATGATTTTCCTTAAAAATATAAATAATGTGTGTAAAAATTCTAATTACAACTGATAGAAAACTTAAGTAGATTTCAACAAAATTATGCAGCGTTCTCCCTTTGCCACTTTGCTTATCACATGATGCAGAAGAGCAGGTGGGGGGATGGGTCTTCTATAAACTTGATGAGGTCTCAAGCAACTTTTAATACCAAATAACCATTATCCCACTGACCTTCAGAAGAGCAAAATGATTCATCTTTATGTATGTATATTTCAAATGAATTTCTCTTATTACAACTCAAGCCACCATAACAGTAACAAGCATTGCTTTAATTTTCACTTTAGGCAAAAATATTTCAGCATGAATTACATTTTCACTACAAAAAAAAGTCTACAGGAATTAAAGACTAAGTTAGTATAATTGGAAAAATTTTTTTCAGAAATTAATAAAAATAAAATACATAAAAACTTAATAAACTCTCCTTTTTCACATGTTCAAAATTGACATCAAGCTTTGAGAAAAGTTGTCAAGACTGAAAACCTACCATGGCAAGTTTCTAACCATGCAAGGTGGACTTAGTTGAGTTTCTTTCAGCTTGCTGATGTTTTCAACCCTATATGTTAATGTTGCTTCAGCTCGGCTGTCATCTATAAATAAATGATCATGATAAGTAAATGATACACACACAAAATAAGTATCAGAGAATCACATTTCTCTTAACAATTAGTGAAAACCAAGACACAGTCTTATATGACGAGATAAGTATTTATGATATGTGCATTCTTCATAAACTGGATGTTCACAAAATATGGTTGCCTGTGACGACACAGACTTAAAAATTGGGGGATTTCACATGCAGACTAAATACTAGTGGCAACAATTAATATGGGATGCAGTTTGAGAAATAGCAGTATGAGTTTCAAGACTCTGCACTCTAAACAGACATACAGTCTAGCAGTCTTAGGGTAATCGCGTGGATTGATTCGAGTATAATCAATTAACTGTTACACAGTCTGAGATGTTTGCGAACAGTCTATGACAACAAACAAGCAGATTTGGCATCCAACTAGGATAAAAATGGATTTTTCAAAGCTCTTCGTCTGATCAGATAGGTGAAAATTTGAGCAGATTTAGATTAATTTTCCAACTGTCTCATCTTCAGATAAGTAAATTTTGCTTAAACTAGCAGATTACAAGGTTTTCTGGTTTAAGAAACCAGCTAGCTAAAATCTTAAGGTGCAGAAATGGATCCATTTATTATCACAGATATCTGACATTACCATCTTCCATATCATCTGCTGGACCCTCTGCCCCTTGATCCCGTATGGCATCTCCATTGACTGTAGGGGGATCTCCTGGATCATGGTTGACAACAGCATCTGCAATGCAATTGTCAATACATATTTCAGATAATTGGCAGAAAAAAAACTTTTGCATAAATTAAACGTTGTCTTAAGTCTTAACATTCAGATTATTAAGTTAAATGGTGATTCCTATGATGACTGGAAAAACTATTCAAGAAGAACATAAATAGCACAGATGATTTCATTATTTTAAGTAAATTTTATATTAAAAACGTTTGTCACTTCTAAATGTTGATGCTATTCAGAGGAAGGAGCACGCATCAATCATTCCTCATGTCCATAATAACTTAATAATGTAAGAACTTAATGTGTTCTATTTCTTTCCCCATGTGATAAATAAGTTAAGCAACATGTTTTGTGCAACTCTTCTTCTAGCAATTTTCATAAAATATTTCCAAATGGGAAATGATCAGTCACACAAACACAAATGTTGTATAACCAATATATTGTCTATTATTCCACATGGGTACCCATTGTGGCCCAAAAATTGGTATAAAAATCAATACAAAGCCACACATATACACACACACATTTAAAATCCAGTTGATAATGCACATGTAATATTAAAATATTTATTACCATTAAATCTAAATAGTTTTAGAATTTCATTCTTCTGCCAGCAACACTGTTTATCTTCAAGGTATAGATAATATATCCCATTACTGCACAACATTATACTAGGGATTCACATTGCTCTGTGTGTGTGGGAGTATAACTAAATTCCTATTAAAATTTTCTCTTTCTCAGTTCTGATAATCAATCAATATATACTGCAGTAAGTGATAATTAGATTAAAAAAATACTAGTCATTTAGTAATTGTAATCAACTGAAAGTCTTGTCACATGGCATGTTACTACGGTCTAGGCATGTTAAATCAACATTCATTTTCTCCAGAGACAAAATGGTCATTAACCACATCCTATGTTTGCTATAGGATCAATTGTCTATTGAATAACTGCTTAATATGTAGGAGTACTGGTAGGTGTAGAAATATAAAATGATATTTGTTTCTTAACAATGACATACAATACTTGTGGGTATTATTTGTTTTTAAATCTACATATGTATGTATACATCAAAGTTTTTTCACGGCCAGTTGAGGCCTTGTGACCTTATAATCTTCTTCTTCCTCCTCTTATTATCATTATTGTTTGATTTTCAACTTGAACATTTTGAAAGTTCTGTTGTCAATGTGCATTTAAACCCCTCAGTACATTTGAGTTACCTGTGACCAAATGCCCCCCCCCCCCAAAAAAAAAATAATAAATAAATAAATAAATAAATAAATAAATAAATAAATAAATAAATAAATAAATGAAAAAAGAAGTAAAAATCATCATCAGTCTGTACAATACAACACCAAAATTCAAAGTCATGCAAATAGACTATTGGTGGCAATGAATTCAAAGACTGAACTAAAAAGGGTATTTATGAGGTAATAGGAGATGACATTGTCCACATAATGCTACAGCATGGTACAGATTTATACAATGCAAAGAAGGCCATGCTCTCAGTAATCTCATAATACTGACAGATACTGTTATTTCATTTTCTAGCAACCAAAATGCAACAGACAATTATAAGAGACTTAGTTTTATTTTTTTTTACCAGAATACTTCAAATAGTGTGATGGCTAACTGTCTCTTGCTATTTATAGATAATTTGTGACAGGTGATACTCATGCACATATGGCTGTATGGGGCTAACACTCCTGATAGAAATACTACTATATTACCGAAGTTGTGACATGAATCCTTCAGGATAATTTTTCTACCCAAGTGTTCCTAAGACCTTGGGGATTGAAACTATTTTGACTTAAATGGATGATAAAATTACTTTGACACCAATCACCACCCCAAATACTATCAGACATGACAACTTGGCAAGGATAGAGGGGTGAGTGAGTAGCATTAGTTACAATATGCTATCATATGTTGCTCATAATGCTGAGACCACCCAAAAAACTCAATTAGATTAGAGCAATCCACATATTCTTTATGAAAATCGATACTAACCATAAATGCATCTTTAAGTTTTATTTCAACTTGTACAATGGTTGTTTTACATGTACCTATTCATACATATTATAATAATTTAATTTCTTTTATTTCCCTTAGCTGTCTGCGGTGTCAATCGTCACTTTCCATTGATATTTCAATAAATGACTGTCATACTTCTGTAAATTCGACAGCAAGATTTATGTCAATCAAAATCGAAAGATCTTTTTCAATGGAAATACAAAAAATTTCGTCATGAGGTGATGCGCCCGAGGTGATGTTGTGATCTGCAGAAGAGACAATGTGACTGTCACACGTCATACACTCTGGACAAACATCTTTCCCAATCAAAATATTTACAAACCTTCCCGAGTATCCATCTCCTCGGTTTCTGGTTGATCATCTTGCTTCTCTTTCAATGCATGGTTCATGTTGCCGGGAGTTTTTTGTGGAGTGACCGTAGACCCTTTCGGTGTTGCCGAGTTTTTCTGTGAAACGGTCACCTTAACGTGTTTACTCGTGATCCGCCCAATGTCTAATCGTTTACCCCTGGCAACAGGGGATGAACATCTACAAAGGGGCAACTGTTGACAATATGCAATAAAAGAACTATCACCCTTCTCGTGACGGCTTTTGCATGAAAATAAACAAGATGGCGCTGAGCAGATGATGACTAGGAATTCTGGGAAAATTATTATCGTCTAGTTTACGTCGAAAACAATTAAATTGATTGTCCTACAAATCCAAAATAAAATATAACGCTTACATCTATGCATTCTAAAGATCACTGATAATACGTGATCGGTTAGGACTACAAAAAATGGCCTAGTAACAGAAACGCAGATATTATCGACCGGAAGTATCTACATCGTCCCACAATGCCATTTTCAGGTACAATCAATACACTGAGGCAAGGACGGAACAACGAAAAATCCCCCTGAAAAATTTTTTTAATCTTCTTGTTCCGTCCGATTTGTGACGGTAGGAAGTATAAGGAAATATTCCATAAACCATGGATGACGATCATGATAGGGAACAAGAAAGGTTTTCAGATCACTGGCTGAAGAAATGGGAAGATCAATGTCTTGAAGAACTGGAAAACGAGTCCAATATGGACGACCAAATTCAGGCGGAAAGAGAGGAGTCGTCTCAAAAATTGTGGCATTCTTTTCAAAACGCTGCCACGGCTTTAGCACAGCTATATAAAGGTATTTTAATTGTTTTTAGAATTTAGTATTTTATTTTATAATTTTGTGTGTTTTTAACGTACTAACCTTGTGTGGGCGTTGGTTGGGAATTACAAATCATGTCGTAACCTGTATTTATAAAGAAAGTAGATCGTCTTACATTAGGTAAATTGAGACAAAAGTCATTATTATGTAACGTTTTTAAAAAATTAGTGTATGTTTACACAGCCGTTTTGTATTCTATTTGTGTTTAAGAAATGTTACGACTTTTGACCGAGTCTTTGTTTATACTGAACTCTCCCAAGTGAACATTTGAAATGGACCAAGAAAATAATTATGGTCGAACCATAGTTATTTTCTTGGCAAATGCCCAAGTAACATTTAAAAGGATATTCATTTTTCTTACTGGAATGGTGAGAGATAAATTGAAAGCCTGCAGATATTATGATATGTAGTTTGGTGACCTTTTTATAATAAAATATATAGTACATTATTATTATTTTTATTAGTAAGTAGATGTGGCGTTGTTTTGTTCCTAATCTTTGAGTTGTCTGCCATTGTTGACCACTCAGGAAGATATTGGAAGTGGCTCTTCTTTGACAATATCAGATGGCATAAACAAATCATACCATTGCTATTAACTTGGTCATCCTTTTCCTCAGTTGGATCGTTTTTTCAAGTTCAGTATCAAGAATTTAAGACTAAATAAAGAACACCAGTTGATATTCTAAGAAAATGTAATGTATAATGCGGTTGATTCAGAAAATTGAAACCTTGGTTCCAGTTGGTTCTAGTTAACACCTTTGATTCCAGTAATTACTGTGGACCCTTTGTTAGATATATGAAATAAAATTGTATGTTTCATCTAGATTTTATTTATGATTTTTTTTAGATTCTATTTTAAACAGCTCAATTTTTATGTTTTTTTTATTCTTAAATTGAATTTCAGAAAAAAAATCTTATCATTATTTTCCACAGGTATCTCTCATAGTGTTGGATTTATTTATCATATGAATGATTTGCTACTTAACATTTTAGATCGCAGTCATGGGTTTTCTATGTGGATGCCTTTCCAGAATGCAGCAGGTTCTGTGACTGTCTTATATAAGGGTATGTTTGATAATGTACAGCAGAGAAGAATAAAGATCACCAATTACAGTTTATTTTTATTTTATTGTTGCCAGCTTTAGTTGAAATTGAATACAAAAAACTTGTACTTTTCAACTTTGACACTCTTGACTTCACAGATATACAAGATAAAATATGCTGTTATTGAAACAATAAGTCAAGCATACAAGTATCAACAATTGACCCATTTTGGTTGTCCATTTTTACAACTTGTTCTAGTTAAAGAAAGTAGATGTTAAAATTTGTTATTTATTGAAAGAAAAACTCTGTTGTTTTGCCCATAATACATTTTAGACATTTTTTCAGTACTTCGTTTTAGCCAAAGGGCACATTTTTTAAGTATAGTATATGCTATCATTTTGCTCATTCACTAAACTGCAAACTTAATTTTCCAGAGAGTGCAGATAACATGAAAAGGTGGTTTGACTTAGGCATTCAATGTGGACAGCAGAGGAAAACTAGAGACATTGTAGCTTGGGCAAAGAAACGTAGACGCCACATAAGAAGAGAGGACTTAATAGCATTTCTATCCGGTAAAAATCCTCCACCTAGACATAGGCCTTCCCCAACACGATCACGAGGCACATCACACATGAATTTCACAGAGTGCCCCCCAGCAGTGATACCTCCTGCAGAGCCAGAGCCTGATCTACAGACATTCAGAGAGGCACTTGCTCTCCAAGGTGAGCAGTTCTGGTTGCAGTGTAAAATAAAATGGTTGAAAGCACCATTGAATAAGGTCTGGTATTAAATGAATAGTTGAGCTCGGTGTTAAATGACATGGTTAGGCATGGGGTGTAATGAGATGTTAGGACATTGAGATTTGTAACGGTTTTGAAACTCTTGACCGTTTACAATATGGATTTGTGGCTGTTGTGTCCTTTGTCCTGAAATCTCTGGGACAATACATGACAGCTGATTCAACAGTACAACATTAAAAATATCTAGGAAAATGAAATATTTAAGGTCACTTTGCAAAAAAAAAATTTTTTAAGTACTATTAGTGACGCACATATTTTGTGACACAAATGCATAATTATGACCTGCCCCGTTATGTTCTCTGCTGTATATTATAGTAGAGGTGTGCATCACTAATAAGACTTTTTTTTTTTTCATGACCCTTTTAACACCGTGTCTGGCAGTAGCAGACTTAGACATAAAAATGACTGCAATATATACAGTGAATAAAAATAACAATGTATCTTTCACATTTTTTTCAGGTTTAAATGGTGCAATGTCAAATGTGAACATGGGTTACATGCCACACAGCCAAGGGTCCCCAGTAAGAAATAGAAGCAGTATGGAAGAACTGAATATATTTATTTTGGATGAGCTATCTCGTCACAATGACAGAAAGCGGACAAGTTCTGGGGATGTGATCATGGACTCACCTACACGTAAACGCAGTAGACTTTTGTAGGGAAAAAGACTTGCATACGATATTTGGGAACATGTTAAAAGAAACCTATTTATGTCCAAAATTAAACATGTTATGCTTCAGTTTGTGAATTCTTCGAGTACATTCTTCATTGTGAAGCTTGATAACAACTGCCTTTGTATGGGTAATGTTTTATGGAACTGCAAAATTATACCACACTTCACTATTTTTCTTACTTTTCTGCTGGCTTAAGGTTATATCAGATTCTCAACAGTTTATTTCCTGAAGTAGGTCGACATGCTTATTGTTGCTGCTGGATATTGAACTGTGATTTTCTTAAACCAAAAATTAGTATAGAAGAACACCTGTTAACTAAATTTGGAATAATATGATTTAGAAATGAGTTTATAGCATATAGCTTACTTTTCTGCAAATTTTATTTATTATTTTTTTTTCTTTAGAAAATGAAACGAAAGTATTTTATTGTAGTTAAGTTAATGATTTTTAGTTAAGATTTTGGTTATCTCCAAAATTGGTTGATATTATTCAAAGGCTAACTTTTGAAGCATATTTTTGGAAGGGACTGGCACTTATGACTTTTTTTTTTCATTCCCAAAAGTTATAATTTTTCAGGAAGAAATTCAATATACCAGAGATTCTAATAAAGGATATTTAAAAACATTTGGTATCTTTATTTTAAATTTGAATTATGTGGGGGAGGGGGATCGGTAGTTCCTAAAGCTATGTTGTAACCTGCAGAAAAAAGTCTTGGAACTGCCCCATAATAATAATAATAATAATTTCATCAAAATATCCTATCCAAATCTAAATTAGATTTCTACAGAAGCATCGTTTATGCTTTCAAACAGCACTCCTTGTCAGTTGTGTTTGCAGTGCTCCTCAATCTCACCTACCACACTGAGCACTTGGCCCTTTACATGTATCAGACTTAGGCGTATTGTTAACTTCCATCAGTTTGTATACAATTACAAAAAATTGTGCTATGTTAACTATGGCTTCACATACAATTTTTTCCAGTTCATTATCTTAGCCATTTCATTTCGATTACCCCAATTGAAAGGATCTAGAATTAACCAAGGCAATATTTTAAAGGTGGTCTAAATTGTTTACAGCTGATATGATTAATAGTGAATATTATGTTCCAGTATATTAATGTCACATTCAAACACTATATTGCCTGACAAAAAGGCAGTTTAAACCATAAAACCTGCAGTAGCAGGTCTGAGAACCTTTTTTCATAAAGATAAGTATTTAGGCATGCCTGGGTTCCAGAGGGACATATCAACATAAAGAAAAACATCAAAATAGGAGTAATTTTTAAGTATCTTTTTAGTATGCAAATAGTACTTAAATGACACCCCAAATCTTTTAAGAGGTTAATGTCTGTCCAACTACTATTTATTTAGCATGGTTAAAACCTATTATGCTCCAAAATTAATGGGGCAAGATTCTGCAGTTTTTCTTCTAGATAGCCTGAACTGTCCCATAGGCATGTTACGATCTTTTAAGGTGAAGACATTAATGTTTTATTTTATTACTGTTTAAGCCAAGTGAAGAACAAAGTGATCTTTGAAAAATGTAATACTGTCTTAAGAAGAAGGCTTTTATGTCACGAAATTGTTAAAAAATTTCTTCCAAAAATACTTCCAGAATAGTTCCTTGAAAGTAAATAGGATTTCTGAATTAACCGTTTCATAGAAACAAACACTATCAAGTCAAATATATCCTGTGTTAAAACATGCAGGTATCAGTCAAAATGTTTTTATGCCACATTATGAGACTTTTCACCGCCCCCCCCCCCTCCCTTTCCCAGTCTGGTAGATTTATTAGTTCCATAAAATGGCTTCCAAGGCTTATGTTACAGCTTCTTGTCATAGAGGTTAAACTTAAGGGGCATATATGTCCTGTAACTTGCATGCAGGGGTATCTATCAAAATGAACTCATAAACATCCATGTGGTTGCATAAAGTTTAAGCAGGTTTTATTTAAGAAGCAATGTTAAATACATGGTCTCTTTTTTCTGTACTTTCAAGCCTTCAATCTAGATGCTATACACAGTCTTACTTATTGGATCCTTATCAAGTTATCTAAATATTATAATCAATTCATGGCATGGAATATTCCTGGCAAGAGAGCATATTGAAAAAACAGGTATGCATAATTCATTGAATCATCAAACTTGGTAGAGAAAATCAGCAGTAGAAGCTCTAGCTATATTATACAGGATAATAATAATAATAATAATAATAAAAGGCCCTAGCACCAGGTTAAAAAGCAAGCGATATACATATGATATGCGCTTCCAGGTAGAGGGGAAAACAATCATAGACTAGTGTGAAATGACTGGAAGCTCTGCCTGGACAAAAACGTACGTATATGTCTATATTATATATCTAAATATATATATGTTCCCCCCTCTCTAGATGGAAAGATAAATTAACAAATTCATAAAGATAGGTTCATACGTATAAACCTAATCTAGAGATATTCAATCATCTGAAACCGAGAATCACCACCAAGGCTAAAAAATAAAATACTAAAATAAACACTAAATAAAATCATAATACAGAAATAAGTTGGCAATTATGAAAAAATCTATTGATCAGCTATATAAAACTAGCAACAAAATCAGCAGTATGTCATCAATCACACTTTTGGTCCCAAGTGGATATATATTTTCCTTTACTGTATAACTCAACATGCAACTAAACAATCACAGAGAATGATTTTAATCAATAGTCGTACGTGAAATTCTTTCACCAAATACAAGACTACCTTTACAGCAGTGTATGATCCTATTATGAAATGTTAAATTGTGAAGTAAATTTTCCTTTTATACACCTGCATTCATTAACTGAGCACCAACATTCAGGAGGGTTAAAATACTTATTAATCAACTTAAAACAATAAAATTTCAAGACTGAAAAAGCATACTATATTCTCCACTTAACTAATATATGAATTTCACGTCCATTTTAATTTAAATGTGACCTTAAATCATGTGACCAACATTTAAGTTTCTGTGGTTCTAAATGTATTAAGTACCTCTTAAGTTATTCTTTCGTAAATCCTGATTAAAGAATAATCAGAAAGCTACAACATAACAAATTTGTTAATTTTCATAATAACAAAATAAAAGAAAACTGAACACTTCAAAGCCTTTTCTTACAACACAACATTGACCTTTTTTGAAAATAAAACATGCATAATTCATCACATCCAAAACCGTAGTGCGAGCAGCTTTATGAAGTATTTTTCTTGCTCTATTCACCATTTATTATATCAATTTTAAAATGTGATCTGCAAGTGTAACAATCATTCTTCCAATATGAAGAATGTTAAACTATATATTAAAATAAATATTACATGACAGATTTAATCATGTGACCCATCATTTGTAGACTGAATTAGCACCAATTAACATGTGAAATCTAAATATATACGTTTTCCTTACTAGGTTACCTTATCAGGTTATCAACTCACTGAAATATCTATCTTTACCTACACTAAAAGAAACCAAAATCAAAAGTTCACATTTCACTTTAAAAATATTCTTAAAATAATAATCTGCCACAAGCACAACCTACATAGAGAGTGTCTTGTTAAAATTTTGGTACATTCATGTTCAACATCTTGTTCTCATGTGACAAAAAATCTTTACCCTCAAATGGGAAAGGCAGACTGCTTCTGCTGTGACATTAACTCTTATCATAAACCAGCACTGGTCTTATCTACAAGTGTGTATCTTCAAGGAACCCTGGTTCGCCAAGGACGAGTTTGCGCTTCTCAACAGCTTCAAGTATTTTGCGACGGGGTCCAAGTGGCACATTCAAATCTCTTAAATCTGAATCAGTCAGCAACATTAATGCTTCCAAATCCACCTTCTCTCTGTTAAACTGGGGGATAAACTCCATAAGTCCATGGGACGCTAAAAATAACTCGAGTGGCGTACACTGCTCATCATCTTCATCCAGATAAGCATCATCTTCCTGCCATTCTGTACCTTTATGATCTTTGGACGTAAGGCTGCTGGCAGTGCCTATGCTGTCCGTGTAGCTACCTTCTCTTTGTTTTCCATTTCCATTGGCAATTTGATCGATCAACTCATTGTCGTCAAAACCATCGTCATCGTCTTCTCCCTGGTGTTCTGGAGGAAGCGACATGGCAGCACGGTTCAAAAATGCCATGTTGCCAAACCCAGGCCTATCAAAAACTCCAAAAGCATTGCTTTTATTTAGGGAGTCTGCACTATCTACCCCTGAGTCAGCGTTCCCTTCTCTCCCCTTCTTGCCTTCTAAACTTATGTTATCGAACAATTCATCAAGCCGCTTTCTATTTGGGCTTGTCATTTGGTTGGTCATATTTACATCTTCCTCAGGTTGTCCATCTGTTTTAGTGTACATGATTTCAGAGTCATGAACATAGCCACCTGTGAGTGACTGACTGGTTCTACGTCCATCTGCCTGCATTCCTCCTATTTTAAAGTTGCCATTGCGCATGCCTTTCTTAGCTTCAATTTTACGAGATGCCCCACCGTGAGCACTGTAGCCAACTGTTCCGCCCCGGTTGTTTTCTGTATTGGCAGGTTCTGATCCTTTGTTCAGCTCCTCTTGCACTTTACTTCCTTTAAGTCTTAGAGTCAGCGTCTTGAAAAATGACCTTTTCTGAGCAGGTTCTGGATTTTCTTCAGCATACATTCTTCGTTCTTCTTTTTCTGCCCTTTTTTGTGCCTTGAATTGCAGTTTTTCATATCTCTTAAATCTTTCATCTGCCTCCAGGACTGCCTTTTCTTTCATCTTTTTCACAAACTTTGGGTTTGTTGCCGACTGCTTGGCTACAACTCCGTCTAGAAAGCGGACAACATCCATGTGGTTCTTCATGGAGGCCAAGTCCAGAGAGGAGTGATGGTCATTGTCCAGAGCCCAAATGTTGACCCCAAAATTGACCAGGTATGTGACACAGTGGAGGTGACCATTGAAGGACGCATGGTGCAGGGCTGTGTTCCCCAACAAGTCACATTTGTCTGCATCACCTCTGTAATAACAGAAAAATAAAGATATCAGACTGCATACCTCCACTGAATTACCATTTTTATATAATACAAATGTAAACAAAAGTACATGCTGGCCATGAATGGCCTGAAATATTCAAGGGTGATTTTCAGGACGAAAATTAAAAATCAAATTCTAGTTCCTAAATTTTGTAATAGTTCAATGATATAAAGTAAATATTGGCAAAAAAGATAAGGATGCCTTTCTTTTATTAAAATGGCTAGAGCATTTTATTTTGAACACTAGACTACCACTAATGTACCCAAGGTAAAGAAGATGAAAAATATTATGTACTAGTACTAGAATTTTAGAACATTTTTTTTGTCTTAAGTCCATTTGTTAAAAGAGACCCCAAAGGCATATGCTCTTAACAGCATATTGAAATAAAATATTAGGTTAAGTGCCAAAATTCAGTGGCAATATATAATAAAGTTACAGTGTGTATGCCAGTTTAAGGTTTACCCTCCTGCCATTTATATCATACTTTTCAAAATGTATGATCAAAACATTGCAAAGGAGTTAAATCATCTAACAGGTAAACAGACAAATCTGCTTAAAATGTTTAATGTGCACAAATATTGTAATTGCCTTTACATCAAAATCATACAACAGTGAAGCATGTTTGCTCTCCATTCTGATCCACATAGGTCAAACGTCCTCTTAAGAAACTGTCACAATGCAAACTGTGGAAATATTTACTCACAATCATCACTTCAAGAAAAACAATATATATAGCTACCATATATCAACCATTTTTCTGGTTCAGCCAGTGCTTTGAATGGGAAGACTTAAAATGGAATGCTATTTGATGGTGTGTTATTCAGGGTGGGGCAAGGCATTTTGTATTTACCAGGCTACACTATCTTGTGTAAATACAGCTACATTACACCCAGGGCAAACAGGAATCGACCACCAAAAAATACTGTTAGCATTCTTGAGACTCTTTTTACACATGCTATGCACCTTCATGTTTAGTATTTCAACCACAAAATGCCTAACTTTGTGGATTTTTTCATACACAAAATATCTTCTTTTATATGTATTTTGCCAACATAATATTTTCCTTCACAGATTTTATTATCTTGCAAGCGCCTTCTTTTATAGATTTTTTTGCGCATAAAATGTCTTCATTTACTGGCTACATAGTACATTTGTCAGCTTATCAAAAAATACCACTGAGAATGTTTTATGGGGGTTTTAAGTGCAGCTACCTAGATACATGCATATAAATTAGATTGCCACACGCCTGATAAGTAAAAGTTCATGTGTGTGTCTTATATCAGTTAATGTTGTCACAGATCTATGTCATATGGACTACAGTGAGTCAAATGCACCCTCCCATCTATGACACCTGCATAATGTGTCCAAGATCACAATCTGTCTCCGCATTATGACACTAAACCACATGTGAAACACTAAAATTGTAAACATAAAATGATCAATTACAATGAACAAGTATACACAAATTAAAAGTTTACAGCAGAAAACAGTCATGTTATAAGGTGTGTGTGTGTGTGTGTGTATGTGTATATATATAGAGAGAGAGAGAGAAAGAGAGAGAGAGAGAGAAACTCAGTCGGACTCAGGTATCATAATTTTTTTCAGTTAAATAGTTACTTGCTTCATTCATCTATTAATTTTTTATTTGGCGGTAGAGATAGACAAGACCAGGATGAAGTAAAAGAAATGAAATTTTTGTTCATTTTTCACTCCCAACATGCCAGACACAAGCATTTTACTTCTATGTTACCAAGACAATGACATGTATTCTGGCCTAACATGTATCCATAATCGTTATCACTACAGCCGAGTGTCAAGTTTACCACACAGCAATAATCACACTGGCATGTTTTTCATCATCTTAATTCTTAGAACCAAACATCTCCATATTTCTCCATGTTTAAGCTACAGGTATTTCATAACATATCAATAACCATTATTATTTCACAGACTGACTTTCTACATATATAAACTTCCTTTTTATAAATAACTGCATATATAAATATCACCTTAAAGATGTACACTCATAGTAAAATAAACCTTATCCTATTTATATTCAAGATATCTTTAGCAGAAAAATTAATTTCATTGTGTCTTGTCAACAATGAAGTCATTATTGCTATCATTCACTAATCACTAACAGCTGATTAACTCAACAGGCTACGCACTTTAGTTTTACAAATGACAGCTCATTCCATTTGCAGAGGGCAAGTGGTGCCGTAGCTGATTTGATATCATGTTAATAGCACTTGACAATATGCTGGGGGCTTTCCCAGGTGTTAAGTTGGTGAAGGAGAGGAGACAATAACTGGGTTCCCATAAGCCTATCGTACTAGCAGGATCTATCTAACTCCAAGGGGATTCTCCCTAAATTGCATTCAGTTTAGGCGGCTTAAATGTCTGTCAAGACCACTGAAGCTGCTAGGGGGATAATTAAGTTTCGTGCATGATTTAACTGAATGCAATTTGGCAAGTATCAAGTATTTTTCAAAAATATCTTCCAAGCATAAGGCACAAATTTTCAATATGCTGTCAACAAACCACTAGTGGTTTTTTAGTGAATGACTAGAATATCAAACTGCATTACCATAAGGATAAACTGTATTATCTGATAGCTATCACAGATGATAAATTGCTATTTATAGATTTACAACACTCATATTATGCCCACCCATAATCCACCTGTAGACAGATTTCCTTATTTTGATATAGTATATTGTACAATAGTAACTTTAAAAGACAAGGGGATCAATTTTGTATAAAAAACAGTGATTAATAAGGATTAGATAACCTTTAAGTAAACATTAAGATACCTAAACTTCATTAGATATAGCCAAAAACACCATAACTTGACATCTCACAAAATAGCATGACAGGGAAATAGCCGTCACCCAAGAATTCTATTATGGGGGAAAAAAGCATACATTTATATATACAACAAGACTTTTAGTAGTGTTTAAATGCATAAAGAATGTGAAATTCATATCTATAGTACATCAAGGGAAAAACATGGCAATTATCTCTTTAATGGAGTATATTGCATCAATGGGGAATACCAGCCCGCTTGGCGCCAGGTGTCGCTAGTGTGAATTCAGTCCTTCCTAGGTCGCCATGTTGGATATTGTATACGTTGGACTGTGGTACTGGCCTTAATAAACATGCCTCAGTATTGTTGTGTACCTGAATGTCAAAGTCGGCAAGGTGGGCATAATTTTCTTGAGGATTCAGGGCTTCGTTTGAAGTGAAGGGTTGCCCATGTCAACACACCTTCCATGTTAAAGGGTCAGTTACAACTTGACCCAGGAACAGTAATTAGGCCCCTAAAGATAGACGAGTTGCCTCAAAAAGAATACACGTAAAAAGGTTAATTGATCTTGGCAAAACTTATAAAGTTTTGGAAAGAGAGCTCCATAGCAAGAAAGTGCCCCTAGGAAGTATGATTTATCAAAGTGCGTTTTCTTATGTCCGTAATTTCAGAAG